GGTGAGCTCTTTATAGATTTTGGATACTAGCCCTTTGTCCGATATGTCATTTGCAAATATCTTTTCCCATTCCGTTGGTTGCCTTTTCGTTTTGTTGGTTGTTTCCTTTGCTGTGCAGAAGCTTTTTATCTTCATAAGGTCCCAGTAATTCACTTTTGCTTTTAATTCCCTTGCCTTTGGGGATGTGTCGAGTAAGAGATTGCTACGGCTGAGGTCAGAGAGGTCTTTTCCTGCTTTCTCCTCTAGGGTTTTGATGGTTTCCTGTCTCACATTCAGGTCCTTGATCCATTTTGAGTTTATTTTTGTGAATGGTGTGAGAAAGTGGTCTAGTTTCAACCTTCTGCATGTTGCTGTCCAGTTCTCCCAGCACCATTTGTTAAAGAGACTGTCTTTTTTCCATTGGATGTTCTTTCCTGCTTTGTCAAAGATGAGTTGGCCATACGTTTGTGGGTCTAGTTCTGGGGTTTCTATTCTATTCCATTGGTCTTTGTGTCTGTTTTTGTGCCACGTTTGTTTATTTTTGAGACAGAGAGAGACAGAGCATGAACAGGGGAGGGGCAGAGAGAGAGGGAGACACAGAATCCAAAACAGGCTCCAGGCTCTGACCTGTCAGCACAGAGCCCGATGTGGGGCTCGAACTCACGGACTGTGAGATCATGACCTGAGCCGGAGTCGGATGCCCAACCGACCAAGCCACCCAGGCGCCCCACGTTGTGGTTTTAATTGGCATTTCCCTGTCCGCTAATGATGTGGAACATCTTTTCATTTGTTTGCTGTCTGTATATCCTCTTTGGGGAAATGTGTCTTCATTCCTTTTGCCCATTTTCTAAATGGATTGTTTGGGTGGTAGTGGTGGTTTAACTGTTACTCCCCTCCCCCCCCTTTATTTCTTATTCTTTTAGTAAACATTTGTCAGCATGTACATCTATCAGGCATTTGGGATGCAGAGATAAAAGACAAAGACTTTTCCCTAAAGGAACTGACAGTTTTGAGGAAGAGATAAGCAAGCAGGTTTCTATGTAGGAGAGGCACCCACTTCCCACCAAGAGAATCAGGGAAGCCTTGCTGCCTGGAAGAGGCAGCATCCAATCAGCATGTGGAGGCATGAATATATTTTTTATACTTTACATATATTACAGCTGACCCTTGAAGTCATGAGTTGTACTGCACAGGTCCACTTACATGTGGGTTTTGATAAATACGGTACAATACTGTAAGTGTTTTTTCCTTATGGTTGTCTTAATAATTAATTTTCTTTGGCTCACTTTATTGTCAAAATACAGTGTATAATACATATGGCATGCAAAATATGTGTTAATCAATTGTTTATGTTATCAGTAGGGCTTCCAGTCATCAGTAGGCTGTTGGTAGTTAAGTTTTTGGAGAGTTAAAAATTATATATGGATTTTTGACTGCACAGGGATTGGTGCCCCTAACCTGTGTTGTTAAACAGTCAGCTGCATACTGCCATTATATTTGAGACATTAATATAGTAAGAAATATAGAGTGCCTTCTAAAAGCCCCTCCAGGTACCTTTCTAAGTAACTCGTTATATGAACTTGTCATTAATTCAAGATTAGCAAACACTGGACACAAAATATCATCCTGGGTTCTTAAAGATTCTAAGATAAGACAACATCCCAGACCCTAAAGATGTCTGATCCAATGATCCAATGGTTATGGACGGGAGATCCATAACCAGCAGACAGTTGACTATAGAAGCACAAACTTAGGAACACTGGAGATTGAGAAATTCGTCGCTAAGAGGTTTGGGAAGATTTCTTGGAGAGGAAGGATTTGAGCTGGCATTTGAAAAAGTAATAGAACTTAAACAGGTAGATATAAAAGGGAGAAATTTTGTTAAACACTCATAGGTCCCTGCTTGTTATAGATTGCCAGATCCCCATCTTGTTCTTACTCACAGAGTTGCTTCTGAGGAAAGGTCCTGGACCTAATGCCAGAGTCTGTGTTTTACTAATGCTCCAGTTAAAGAGATTGTGACTGGAAGTCATGTCTAGTTTTAGGATGAGATCCACAATCTAATTTTAGGAGGTCCTTTATCTTACAGATAGATGGACTGAGCCCTATAGAGGGTCAAATTCAGCCCAGACTTATTGCTCCCACTGGCCAGACCAGTGGCTGTATTTTATCTAGAAAGTCCCCAGGCCAAGCCAGGGAAGTGGTGTGGATTTCCTGCTATGTTTCTGCTAAAAAAAAAAAAAAAAAAATTGGTGAAAATAAAGTGCTTCAAAGTGGATGGGGAGTACTTCTTATTTTTAAATATTGCTGTTTATCTCCTATGTAATTTTTTAAAATCTCCTTTAAAGAATATAATGTTTACCAGGGCGCCTGGGTGGCGCAGTCGGTTAAGCATCCGACTTCAGCCAGGTCACGATCTCGCGTTCCGTGAGTTCGAGCCCCGCGTCGGGCTCTGGGCTGATGGCTCAGAGCCTGGAGCCTGTTTCCGATTCTGTGTCTCCCTCTCTCTCTGCCCCTCCCCCGTTCGTGCTCTGTCTCTCTCTGTCCCAAAAATAAATAAACATTGAAAAAAAATTTAAAAAAAAATAAAAAAAAGAATATAATGTTTACATATACTCTGAGGTAAACCCCATTTACCAAGTAAGTAACGTAACAAAACAAACCAACTTTAAAGCTTGTTTGGCAGGGATTAGCATGGGTAAGAAAATGGAAGATATTAATGAGATGGGGAGAAAATCAGATTTCTTCTCTCAGTCAGAGAAAAGAAAGGCAATTACAAACTGTAATGTAAACAGAAATATAAGAAAGTCAGGGCCCAAATATGTAGCAAACTAAAATACAGCATGATTTTGAGAAATTTGTGAGTGTAATAAGGGATATTCCAGCTGCCACATCCTTCCTAAATGACAAGTCAAAATACTCAATCTGGAGAGAGAAGTTGCAGCCCTTTGCAGTGAATGACGTTTACATAATCACCGTGTTGTAAATACTGTTGATTTTCAGCCTTTAGAATCTACATATAAATAAAATAGGAAGACAAATAATGCTTACAGAACAAGAATGGAAATGTAATCAATCTCGGCAATGTACAAAGTAGACAAGAGTGGGGCACTGGAAATGGGGAAGAAAAGAAGAAAGCATGGTGGGGGCTAGCATTCTCCTCTCAGATGGTGTGCAACACTGATGAGTAAGTTGAGGTTTTAAGTTTACTACTTAAGTTACAAATTTGGGTGACTAATGGAAGAATTAAAGAGAATAATATAGCTATTTGAAAGGTTTAGGACATGCCACTCTAAGCTATGCCACTTTGGCATATTGATTATTTTGAGTGGAAGGCAATTGGAAAGCAGCAGATGTGGGAAGGCTTTCTACCTTAGGCTTTCTGGCCTCCTCCTTTCTACCTAAAATCAGATTGTTAAATTTCCCATGAGAAAGGTGCCCTCCCTGTACCAGGAAGAGAAGAATGTTCTTATCACCAGAGACTGGGAGTCTATGCTGAAATGGGCCTCTACAAACAAACCTACTAAAATAACCCTTATCTTCCATTAGTTTCCCTCATATATTTCTTAGTCACTTTCCCACAATTTACTGTCCCTAGTCCAAGCCCCTTTGTCTTGTCACATTTCCATAATTTATTGTTCTTTGTGTAAAAAAGTATGTAAACCTTTTGGCCTAATAGCTTCTTTGGGTCTTTGTTTTCCTTTTAAGGACTTCCATGTACATGTAAAAATATTAAATAAAATTTGCGTGCTTTCCTCCTGTTAGTCCATCATGTCAGTTAATTCTTAGGCCAGCTCCTGGGTCTAAGAGCGCAGAAGGAAGGTTTTCCACCCCTATGCTGTCCAAAAACCTGTAGAGTGTGGGGAAGCAGAGGGTAGACATCTATTAAATCATAGTTTTTCAGGATTGGCAGTTAATTGAGAATGTCTAAAGAAATAGCAGTGTCAAGTGTATTGTGAGTTAGGACAATAATCCCCAGAAATAAATACAGAAGTGGCTCTAAATGGTGAACTCTGGGAAGCAGCACTATAAGTGAGCAGGGAATAGGGAGAGATACGATTTTAATGTCATATAAGCAGTTGCGTTGATAAAAAGAAATGGGAAAAAAAAGTTGTATTGACCAGAGATCATATTTGTTCAAAGGAGGGACCTCTGGGTGGCTCAGTCGGTTAAGTGTCTGACTTCAGCCCAGGTCATGATCTCCTGGTTTGTGAGTTTGAGCCCCACATCGGGCTCTGTGCTGACAGCATGGGGCCTGCTTCAGATCTCCTGCCTTGCTCCCTCTGCTCCTCCTCTGCTTGTGCTCTCTCTCTCAAAAATAAATAAACTTAAAAAAATTTTTTTTTTAATTTGTTCAAAGGAGCAGCATGCCAGTCAGATTCCCCAGTGAATTCTAATTAATTAGTTTTGAAATTTTAAGCAAAGAAACATTTCGGTGATAGAAAAATACTAAGTGTGATTGCAGGTATTTTATTACCTAAAATTTAAAATGTAGCCTGTAAGTGTTTTAATTTTCCTAAATTTGCCCTATGTGCAGGAAAAAGAATTATTTCAGGTCTGGTACAGATAGGTGAATACCATTTTTGTTAAGAGAGATCTTGGATTTTTTTTTTTTTTTTTTTTTTGAGACAAGACAAAATGAACTGCTGTGAGGCACCTCTCAAAGGTGCAAAATTTTTGGAATCATCCAGAATTTAGCCTGTTTAATATAACATTTAAGCTCTTTCCTTGTGCAAAATTTTCAATTTATTTTTTCCCATAAGAACACACCTCTAAATTTATAATGCCAATCATTGAAAAACAGCATTTATTATATAAACCTTCCCTCTGTCTGCAAGGCCTGGGCATCAGTCTCTAGGATCACACCCCACCGGCTTGTGTAGGTGCTTGCAGGTACGATGTTCAGAGGGAGCAGACCAGGAGGTGGGCTCCTGGGGACGTGGCCATGTGAAGCCGTGTATCTCCGGTGCCATCCTGTGGTTGTGATGCTGAATTAGAGCATGTTTTCATTTTCTCTCCAGGAAGGCCCTTTTGTCTACTTGTCTTTCGTAGGAAACATCGCAGATTCCGAAGGCTTGATTGCTTCATTGTGTGAGTAATTTAAAATGTTTGCATTTGAAACGTTTGAGGAGATTAATTGCAAGTGTGGCTGTCCATTAAATGAGTACCTGTAGCACAAATTGTATGATTTCATTTATGTGAAATGTCCAGAATAGGTGAATCTAAAGACACAGATTATAGGTTGATGGTTGCCTAGAACCATGCGGAGAAGGGGTGCCAGAGGAGGGGGGTGAAGAATGAATGACTGATAATGGGTATGGGTTTCTTTGCAGGGGGAGGGGTTAATGAAATGTTTGAAAAATTTCATTGTGATGATTCAAATCTGTGAGTGTACCGAAACCCATTGAATTGGACACTTTAAATGGGTGCCTTGTAAGACACGTGAATTATATCTCAATAAAGCTGTATACTAAAAAATATTCTTAGTGCAGATTGAAGGGTTTGCAGTATTTAAACTGGGTGTTTCCCATATTTTTAATATCAGCTCTCAGTTTATTATATATATGTATCTGCAGTCTTGTAGATAATTTCCAAAACTCCTGCTGCTCTGCAGAGCTATTAACTGGTTTTCCCTATCTTCTTCATGCTTACTGTAAATCAATTGACGTTCCATCAGTTAGTATCGACTTCCTCTCATGTACTGTGTCAATTTTGACAAGTGAGCCCTGTAACAACAGAGTCCTTTGCCACTATTACAGAACTGCCTTGTGCAAGGTAACTTCGTTCAGATTTTGCTTCTGAAATTCTGCGTCATTTATCTCATTTCTTCCTTGATTCTGAAATCAGATCCTCCAGCCAGGATCTGTGTTGGGACTCCGGTTCATCACTTGTGTTAGGAAACTTCTGGAGAATTGAGAGAGCTATAGTTAGTGCTTCTCAAAGCAAACCATGTGTCATCTTTGATGCCTGCCAGGTCCTAGCCAATGGTAGCTCAGGGAGCCTGATCCCCACTTTAGGAGTGAAATGCTGCTTGTGCACCTTTGTGTTTGTAATGTGATGAGTTGGCCAGATTAAACTGTGCTTGGGAATTGCCTGGGAGGCCCGAAGGCTGAAAGACCCCAGCCTAAGTCATTGTCCTCCACCCTGGCTGCCTGGCCTGGCATCAGAGCAAGTGAACAGCCCAGATTTGACTTAGTCCCATGAAATGCAAATGTCTAACATGATTTTTATCAGTCATCTTCAGTTTACATTTTTTGCCTTAAAAAAAGTGAAAGCCCATTTAATGGTGGGGTCCTTTATTCTTGAGAAAAGGAAAATCCAATAGATTTAAGTAGTACTTCTCAGACTTTAAAGTGCACCAGATTGCCTTGGGCTCTTGTTAAAATACAGATTCTGATTCAGAGGGTCTAGGGTAAGGCCTCCCAGATGTTGATCAGTAGACTATCCTTAGATTCACAAGGATGTAGAGCTCGCTTATAAGCATTATGTGGACCCTGTTAAAGGAGAATTATTCATGCCACTGGTTAAAGATGATAAAGAAGAATTTATTTAGGAGGTACTACTAAAGTGGGGGCTTGTAGCAGGGGAGAAAGATCGGGCTCAACTCCAAATACAGCAAGGAAGGTGGACCTTTTTTTTAATGTTTATTTATTTTTGGGAGAGACAGAGACAGAGTGTGAGTGGGGAGGGGGAGAGAGAGAGGGAGACAATCTGGAGCAGGCTCCAGGCTCTGAGCAAGCTGTCAGCACAGAGCCTGACTCAGGGTTCGAACTCACAAACTGTGAGATCATGACCTGAGCTGAAGTTGGACACCCAAACAACTGAGCCACCCAGGCGCCCCAGGAAGGTGGAGCTTTATAGCCAAGAAGCAGGTGGGGTCCGTGGATGGAAAATTACTAAGAAGAAACATTGAGGTTTGGAGGGTTCTTAATAGACTGACTCAACAGGATTCTTGCTGCAGGCAGGCCAGGGTGATATGACATACAGGGTGTAGATGAGGAATTTGATCAGTTATCAAGAGTGATCAAGTATCTGCACCCCCATGTTCACGGTAGCATTATTCACAGTAGCAAAGGCATGGAAACAACCTAAGTATCCATTGATGAATGAATGGATAAAGTGTGTGTGTGTGTGTGTGTGTGTGTGTGTGTGTGTGTGTGTGTATGCACGTGTGCATGCAGTGGAATACTATTTAGCCATAAAAAATCAAAAAATTCTGCCATTGTGACAACATGGTTGTACCTTGAGGGCATTGTGCTAAGCGAAACGAGCCAGACAGAGAAAGACAAATACTATATAATCTCACTTATGTGTGGAATCCTAATTAAAAAAAAAGAAAAGGCAAAAACAAAACTGAAACTCATAGAAAAAGAGATCAGATTTGTGGGGTGTGGAGATTGAGGGAATAAAGTTGATTAAGAAGTGCAAACCTCTAGTTACAAGATAGAGGAGTACTGAGGATATAATGTACCACATAATGACTCTAGTTACCACTGCTATAAGTTTTCAAGAGAGTGGATCCAAAGAGCTCTCATCATCAGGAAGAAAGCACCTCTTTTTCTTATTTTTTTTTGGTATCTGTGTAAAGTAATGGATGTTCACTAAATTTATTGCAGTCATTTCACAACAGATGTAAACCAAGTCAGTGTGTTGCACACCTTATACCTACCCAGTGCTGCTTGTCAGTTACATCTCAACAAAACTGGTGGTGGGGGAAGCGAGCAGATACCAAGAAAGGGGGATTTTTGCTGTCGTGACCTAGTAGGATTCTTGGCTAAAACTGGACTAAGCGAGCCAAGGACAGAGCCCTGGATGGGGGGCCTTGTTGAGGAGAGGGCTCAGAGGACCCCGACTCAAACTTGGTCAAGAAGACAATCTTTGTCACCCCTCACCCTCTCCTAATCACTCTGGGGTGCAGGGCCCAGCTGTGGCTCAGGGACTGGGATCCTACTCCAGCCCCAGCGTGTCTTTCCCTCTAAACTTCTGCCTGAGCCTGGCAGTCAGTCACAGAATAAATGACACTAATCACATCATCAGGCTTACTAACACTCTGTTTGCCCTGTTGCTATCTAGGTGTTTAACCAGCAGAAAAAATGACCAGAGTTAGGTGTCAGAGGAGGAGATGCCAGAGGCTTGATGCACTGGGACCACCTTCCTCTCCAGCAGTGACCCCGGGCCCCATCCACGCGCGTGCGGGCATGCATACACACACACACACACACACACACACACACACACACACACACACAGAGTCTCCTTCAGTTCTGCTGAACTAAATGTGATTTCAGACACACTGTGTTCCCTCCGTTCCGGGCCTTTGTGGTGTGCGTGCTCCTCCCTGAAGCACCCTCTCCTTCACCCAGTTCGTGGGTCACCTCTTGTGGTGTAAGGCCCGAGATTAAAATCCGATATTATGTGTGCCTTGACATCTGATAAAATCTAGAGGGACTCACATGGCCTAACCATAAGAGGAACCCCACTCTGCTTCCTCATGTGAGGTCCCCTAGCCAAGCGACCCTCCTTGTCACAGGGACCAGGCATGGTGCCTACGGGTCCCTGAGGAGCAAGTGGGCTTCAGTTCCTTGCCAGCCCCCCAAATTATTGGAGGAAGCCAATCCCATCTTGCCTCAGGAACCAGGGGCCACCCCATTGTTGTTACTGCAGAACTGGCTCCTGTGGCCCCTCCTAGTTCACTCCGTCTCTAAGTGCACCCCCCACCCCACCCCGTGTGGCCCTGGGTGGTGCAGTGTCATCTCTCCCCAGGCTGTGAGTGTGTGTGACTAGTAAGTTGCCATCAACCTCATCTATCCAGTGCCACCTGTCTTGTGTGGCCGTCCCTATAACCCGAGGGTGGGACTCCTTCCCTCACCAACAGGGGGAAGAGGAAGCGATCAAAACACCTCACCTCCCTCATCTGGCTTAAAGTGTCACTTCCTCCATGTCCCATGCTCAGTTGCCATCACTTACGACAGGGTCCAACCTCATGGAACGGGAGCTCCCAGAGGGCCACCTGTGCCCTAGGCCCTAGCTGATGCTACATTCCCCAGGCCCAGCACAGAACCTTCCATATGCTCCAGAAGATTTGTTGAATTAAAGAATGAATGAATGGTGTTATTTTTGAGTGTCTAAACAACTACTAATCTCTCAGTTCCTAAAGCACTGACATTTTTCTTAAGTGACACTTCCTTAGACTTGGGGTGCACTAGAGGGAACACTTCAGGTATTGTGTATGTGTTTAGATTTACAGGAAAAGCTTCCTTTCACTAGTATGTTGTTTTTCAGTTAATTCCTGGGCTGGCGGTCGGCTAAGGACTAGCAGGAAAGCTCTGCCTGTCCTGCTGGCCCTGTCTGGCCTTTCAGAGTCTCTGCTCAGCTTGTGTCTGTGTGTTATCTCATTAAATGACTAATCCTGTTTATTGGCCTTTCTTTCTGCCAAGACAGCCTTTCATTAGAACCTGTTGTCCCTAGCCCTGAGGGATCCTACCTTGGGCCATTAATGGAGACTAGAGCTTTGTCCTGCTGCTTCACCAATCCCAATTATGTAGCTAATATTTGATGATTCATATCTTGTCTAAATAATGTGAGAATAATATTGAAAGGAGAGAAGAGGTGAAACTTTCATTTAAAAATATTTTTTTTAATGTTTATTTTTGAGAGAGAGAGACAGAGTGTGAGCTGGGGAAGGGGCAGAGAGAGAATCCAAAGCAGGCTCCAGGTTCTGAGCTGTCAGCACAAAGCCTGATGTAGGACTCGAACCCACCAACTGTGGGATTGGATCATGACCTGAGCTGATGTCAGACGCTTAACCAGCTGAGCCACCCAGGTGCCCCAAGACTTTGATTTTTTTTACTCTGATCATTTGAGATCTTAGGACTGGCATGTATTAGTTTGATAAATTAAAAAAAGGAAAGAGGGAGAGAGGGAAGGAGGGAGAGAGGGAAATAGAGAGGAAGGAAGGAAGGGTGGGTTGGCTCTCCCAGTGCATGGCTCTCAGTCCTGCTCTAAAAAGACTTTCTCACCTCATTCTGTCTAGAAGAAACAATCCTGATAATGGGGTCTGGAAAGATCTTTTAGGGCATGCCCACTCCCTGGTGAACACATTTGAGGCCTTTGTGGTGTCTGTTGTTAGTGACTCCTGTCTGGACTGAAACATCCCCTTTGTCCATGTGGGGGATTCATTCTCTGTGTCATTACCATTCCACCGTCCTCCCCCCGAACCTCCCCACTGCCAGTACAGGGCTCAGTTTCTCTTCAGTTATTAATAAACACATGTTTTTTTAATAAACATTTCCTTAATAATAACTTTCCCACATCTGGATTATACCTACAGACTTTATATGGGAATTTTGAAGTAAGGAACTGTAACACAGTTAACAAGCTAATTATTAGAGATGGTCTTTGCAAAATCTGGCTGTGTTGAATTAATTCAGAATTCTGTTGCTTAGAGTAATGATAGCAGGGGTGAAAAGGGCACATGTATGCAAGCACTTTGGGAACGAAATCCTTTTACAAATATACCAAGATATTGTTATTAGTACTTGTGCGGTAAATGCGTTTCAGCCTCCGTTCTCCTCTTGCCTTCCTCTAAGGCATTATGGGCAGCGTAGGGAGTGACAGTTTCTCTCTTTGTCTCCTCGTTAGGGGAAAAAAAGGTCATTTTCACTGACTGTCATAAAAATAGTTGCCAGATGAGTAACAAAATGTATTTCACTTTTAGGGAAAGAATATGGCAAAGCTGATGCAAGATGGCTTTATTTTGACCCAACCATTGTGTCTTTGGAAATTCTGACTGTTGTCTTGGATGGGTCTCTGGCATTGGTCCTCATTTATGCCATAGTCAAAGAGAAATATTATCGGTAAGTGCTCTTCTTCTGGCCTGCTGAAGAGAGGAGAAACATTAGCTGTCTCGATGCCTACATGGCATTTGGAGTAGATTAGGACCACATTCATTTGTTAGATTAGAAATGAAAATTGTTCAATATTAGATAGGAAGCGTGGTGCCACCAGGATAATTTCAGATGATTCAAAATAAAAACGATAGGAAATAGGATTGTAGGGACCACCTAGTCATTCTACGAGGAAGGAAGTGTGAAGAGCATTGGATGATTTTTCACCAATATTTTGGAAAGTAAAGGGTAATGCCTCCAACCCTTTCCCAATCGCCCCCCAAATCTTGAAAACTCCTATTCCAGGGGCGCCTGGTTGGCTCATCGGTTGAACATCCGACTTCAGCTCAGGTCATGATCTTGCCATTCATGAGCTTGGGCCGCATCCAGAATCCACTTCAGATCTTCTGTCCCTCCCCTCTTTCTCTGCCCTTCCCCCACTCGCACTGTCTCTCTCAAAAATAAAAAAAAACCTTTAAAAAAAAAAAAGAAAACTCCTATTTCACTTTACACCAAGTAAATTCTCTTAATTTGGAATTAGATATGCAGGACAAATCTTTTCAGAAACAGGTTGTGGAGGGTGTGAGGAAGGCAGGAGAGAGGAAAGGGAGGAGAAAGGTGGAAGATTAACCACTGTCAGTCAGACTCTGAGACTTTGAACTCTCTTCCCTCCCTCCTACCCTTTCCCTTCCTTTCCTTCTTTCAGACAAAGTGACGTAGGGCAAATAGGATGCCATCCTGGGGATGATTCCCAAAACAATGTCAAATAGGCACGATTGCATTCCACTTTTTAGTGTCTTGAATCAAAGAAGTATTTTTTAAAGCTTCGTCACAAAATTTCAGGTTTGAACGAAACCTCTAAGGTCATTTAGTCCACTTTCCTCCCACCCAGTTTTACTTAGATAGTTGGCAGGAAAAATTAAATTTCTTCCTGGTGTCTTGATATATCTTTGTCTCTATGATCTTGGTTGTAGATTTACTACATGCACCCAATTGTTTAGTACTTGAACCATCTATAATATCTGCATTGTTGAGTACTTACATATCCACGTATCTCGTTTACTCTCCACCATATTCTTTGAGGAAGGAACTGTTATTACTGTCCCCTTTTACAGCCAGTAAAATTGTGGCTTGTAGCAAGATTCGCATCTAGGTCTCTCTTTGCTGGGTGAGATGTGACCTCCATAAATCTTCCTAAGAGTGGAACAGGATACCTGAGAGACTTTATTTAACTCTGAGGATAATCTTCCAGGAAGGGCAGTATTGCTTCTCCAGAGAAAGCATGGATCTCCCATGAATTGGATTGACTTGCCCCATTGAAGGAGCACTGTGGGAAACCTGAGGTCCAACTTCAGAGAGGTCTTCTGCTGTGGAAGACGGTGTAAATGCTGCCATTTAAGACAAGAGGTCAGGATTCAGGGTGACAGGCTGGGCTGAGCTGGCAGCTTCATCCCTTGTTTCTTTCTCTCTAACAGGCATTTCCTGCAGATTACCCTGTGCGTGTGTGAATTATATGGCGGGTGGATGACCTTCTTCCCGGACTGGCTTATGGGAAGCCCCAACCTCAACACCGACAGTTGGCTCTACTTTGGGGTCTATCTGGTATTTTTCAATAGTGTGTGGGTTCTGATCCCAGGACTGTTACTGTGTCAGTCATGGGTAGAACTCAAGAAAATGTATTACAAAGGAACCAATTCAGGGAAAAAGTTTCAGTGACTTTTCAAAATCACAAACACTGATTTCTTGCTTTATAAGCCAGAATGGATCAAACCTTCTTGTTTGGCCAAAATGTAATGCATTCCAGTGTATACTTTCCTTTTATAGTGTTGTTCCTCAACAGCTTATTTCAAATTGATTGCAAGGTGGCAAGTCTTTGTTTTTGTTTTTGTTTTTTTCAATTAAATGACAATATGGGGAACAGAGAGTAAATTTTAACTTGTAATAATAACATCTTTAATTATACACTTTTATGGCTCTATTAATTGTTCCACATTACTAAAGCCAATTATCATAAAATGCTATAGAGCATATTATATTAATTTTTTATTCCAAGAACATATTGTTGCCTCAGCTTTTTTAAAAATGTAAATAAATCCAAGTTAGTTAACATATAGTGTAATAATAATTTCAGAAATAGAATTTAGTGACTCATCACTTGCCTCAGCTTTTAATCATCTCACTTATCTTTCGGTTACCAAAGTGAGACCAGACATGAAATGAATGCTTCTATTTTACATTTGTCCTTTATCAAATTTGTGAAGCCAACAGATATGATAGTAGCAGAACCCTGTGAGTAGATTAGAAATGGACCAAGTTTCACACAGACAGGTGACACAAAAGGATACAAAAAGCTGCAATAAGTTTGACTGCACTAAAAGTACTCTGTTCATCAAGTCACCACTAAGAGAGTAGAAAAGGAACCCAGAAGGTAGAAGGTATTTGCAGTACATATTACTGACAAAGGACCCATCCTGAATAAAGACCTCCTGTAAGTCGATTAGAAAGTCAAATCGAAAGTTAACAAAATATTTATGTTTTTTGTGGTTTTTTGTTTTTTAATTTTTTAAATATTTATTCATTTTTGAGAGAGAGAGACGGAGCTCAAGCGGGGGTGGGCAGAGAGAGAAGGAGACAGAATCCCAAGCAGGCTCCAGGCTCTGAGCTGTAAGCACAGAGTCGGACGCAGGGCTCGAACCCACGAGCCATGAGATCATGACCTGAGCCAAAGTCAGACACTTAACCGACTGAGCCACCCAGGCACCCCTTAACAAAATATTTGAATAACTACTTCATGAAAGAGAATATACAGATGAGAATTTAGGAAACCACAATAAGGTGTTCCTCCACACCTATCAAAATGGTAAAAGTGGGGCACCCAGGTGGCTCAGTTGGTTAAGCGTTCGACTTCAGCTCAGGTCATGATCTCACAGTTTGTGGGTTCAAGCCCTGTGTCGGGCTCTGTGCATTAGGCTCTGTTCTGAGAGCTCAGAGCCTGGATCCTGCTTCAGATTCTGTGTCTCTCTCTCTCTCTCTCTCTCTCTCTCTCTCTCTCTGTCCTTCCCCCACTCATGCTCTTGTCTCTCTCTCAAAAATAAATAAACAAAATGCTAAAAGTAAAAAGACTGACAATGAGGAGTGTTGGTGACGAGGTGGAACAAGAACTCTCATGCAGCGCCAGTGGGAACGTAAAGTGGAAAACTGTTTAGAAATAACTATTAAAACTGGACGTGTACGCGCTTAGAACCCGGTAATCTGACTCTAGGTATACACCTCCCAGAAGTGCTTACTATATGCACCAGAATGGCAGCATTATTCATTTAATAACCCCAAACTGGAAACACCTTAAATGAATATATTGTAATACAGACACACGGCGGACTAGAAACCAATGCAAATTAACAACTAGTGTTACAACAATGCAGATGAATTTTACAATGATGAACAAAAGAAGCCAGACTAAAAGAATATGTATTGTATGATTTTGTTTATATAAGGTCCCAAACCAGGTAAAACTGTGGTGTTAGAAAACAGGATAGGCTCAGTCAGTTAAGCATCAGACTCTTGATTTCTGCTCAGGTCACAATCTCACAGTTCTGTGCTGACACCACAAGGAACCTGCCTGGTATTCTCTGTGTCCCTCTACTAAGTAAACTTAAAACAAAAAAGAAAAAGGAAAAAGAAAACAGGATAAAGGTTGCCCTTGGGGAAGACAGTTGGATGTACTGATAGGGAGAAGTCATGAGAGGATTTCTGAGATGTTGTTAGTCTATTTATTTTTCATTTGCATGGTGGTTATAATCTGATCATTCAGCTGTACACTTACAAATGGTACACTTCTCTCTCTATATGTTCTGCTTCGATTTTAAAGTCTATATTTAGAAACTTTTTTTTTATTTTAGAGAGAGACGGAGACTATGAGTGGGGGAGAGAGACAGAGGGAGAGAGAGAGAATCTGAAGCAGGCTCCACGCTTGGTGCAAAGCCCAGTGTGGGGCTTAATCCCACGTTCTTGGGATCATGACCTGAGCTGAAATCGAGAGTCAGACACTCAACCAACTGAACCACCCAGGCACTCCTTAAAAGTTTATTTTTAAAAATCCCTGGTATGAAGACCTGGAAAATGTCTTCAGTGGACCCTCATGAAGAGGACACTGTGTCCTTGACAACAGATTCAGTGTAACAGGCTGTTTCTAACAGTGTCCCCGATGTGGGCAGAAGGCAGGATGCCAGAGGGAGAGTCTGTAAAAGCCTTTCCATGAGGGATTACCTAGTTGTTTCCGGAACTTTGCTGTCTGCTGATCTGGCTCAATCCAAGGGTGAACAGAGTAGGGAAAAATGGATGGGCCGCAACCCTGCAGGCAGTCCTGAAAACATGATGTCTCTCAACAGTTTTTGCTGAGTGCTGAATGGGAGAGAAATGGGGATTACAGACTTTGACAGGAACTTGGAGTACAGATACACGCTGCTGCCAAAGAAGGACAGATCTCAATGTTTTAACGGTTAAGGGAGTTGGCGAGAAATGGTGTCCCAGTGTGAAAGTCTAACATATCCTGTTAGAAGCCCTTCTCCCCATCAGAGAGAGGTGGGGGCAAGGTGCCAAGGCAATACTGTGTTTCACTGGTGCTAAGATAGATTTTTTCCTCCATATTTTAATATTTTAAAAATTAGAATGCATTTTACGTTTGCCGTGCCTCAGTTCGTTGGAGGTGGGTTTTTTTTTTCTATCAAAGTATGAGGCATCTTATCATTAATGGTATCTCAGATTCAATTAAAGAAGTCACGGGGCGCCTGGGTGGCGCAGTCGGTTAAGCGTCCGACTTCAGCCAGGTCACGATCTCGCGGCCCGTGAGTTCGAGCCCCGCGTCAGGCTCTGGGCTGATGGCTCGGAGCCTGGAGCCTGCTTCCGATTCTGTGTCTCCCTCTCTCTCTGCCCCTCCCCCGTTCATGCTCTGTCTCTCTCTGTCCCAAAAATTAAAAAAAAAAAAAAAAAAAGAAGTCACTATCTTCAATGTTGTTCCTTCAAGCCTCAGTATCTCCAACTACTTGGAGGTGATAGTTCAAATTTACCTTAAAAGTCTAAATTTTGGAGGCGCCTGGGTGGCTCCGTTGGTTGAGCAACCCACTCTTGATTTCGGCTCAGGTCATGATCCCAGGGTCGTTGGATCGAGCCCTGTGCCGGGCTCCATGCTGAGCATGGAGTCTTCTTTGGATTTTCTCGCTCCCCCTCCCCTCCCTAAATAAACAAACAAATGTCTAAATTTTGCTTGGGTCCTTAGGGATCACTTACTTGAATACTCCCCTCCACCCCTCCTTCCATCCCTTCACATTTGTTCCCTGGGAGCCAAGCACACAAGACAGGCTTGGAGGAATACATAAAATGATTTGCGGTAGGTTATTAATTGCTTATATTTTAGGTAACCAGATTCCTGCAAACAGGCTGTCCCGTCCCCAGTATTATTTACACTAAATTTCCTTTGGAGATTCTTCCTTTCCAGGTAACGTTGAGGCAGATGATCAGCATAACCAATCTAAATTCACGGTGTAAGTGATCGTTTCCTTGCAATTAATTATGTCAACTCTACAACTCCTGGAGTCCTAGCACCAGGGCTCCGGGAAAGGTCCAAGATTGCAGAGTATGAAATTGTAAAATAATACTTTGTCAGAGACAGGTTTGATTGAAGACAAAATGCAAAAAGTTTGGGGAAGAATCCTTTGTTTATTTTAAAATTATTATTGGGGGCGCCTGGGTGCCTCAGTCGGTTTAGCGTCTGACTTCGCTCAGGTCATGATCTCACGGTCCGTGAGTTCGAGCCCCACATCGGGCTCTGTGCTGACGGCTCGGAGCCTGGAGCCTGCTTGGGATTCTGTGTTTCCCTCTCTCCCTGCCCCTCCCCTGCTCACTCTCTGTCTCTCTCTGTCTCTCAAACATAAATAAACATTAAAAATTTTTTTCTTTTTAATTATTAAAATCCACGAACCTTTTCTTGTTTGTTGTGGAAGCTAGAGTTTGAATCTAAGGATAAATCATATATAAAGAGAATAATTGGGCAAGGCTTGCATGAACAAGGTAAACTGTTGCTATCTTTAATTTTAGTTAAATACCTGTGAGGTAACAGGGAGGGCCTGGCAGGCCTAAGCATAATGTGAGCTAACTGTGAGGCTTCTCCACCTACTGCCCTTTTAGAATCTCTACACCTTCCCTTCCCCCTTTCCATTGCTTGACACAGACCCCAGACCTAACAAAATCCATTTCCCATCACCACTTCATTGTAGGAAACAAATCACATCCATTAATTAATCTTAAGGTATCAATAATTGATCCTAGTGTGATATTACCCTTCCCAAATGCATTTGCATAAAAAATGTATTACACAACTGATACATTTTCATTGCTGAGAAATGGAAAATTCAGATAAGCAAAAAGAAAACAAACATGCCCAGTATCATCAGGAAGAACCACTATTACAAATTTAGTTTCTGTTTCTCAAGCTCTTGTCTGTGCATGTATTAACATTTTGGGGAGACTTCAACCTTGGAAGTAGGGCGTTCACACCCCTTCCTTCCTTTCTCTCCCTTGCCCTCAGCTGATCATCAAGAAGCAGCGGTCCTACAGAACCAGCTGTGGATAGTATTACAGAACATGGCCCCATTCTTGAGAAATCCATGCACTTACAGAGGTTGATAGGTAGCAGTTATCATTTATTTTTGGAAACTAGTTTCCGTTGATGCTTATGTTGACACAGATCAAGTTGACATCTTAAAATATTTGATTGGCCACATCCCAGCTCTTCAAGGGAGGGATCAACTGTGCTGAGCCTGCTGCAGTATTACGTCCTACGTGTTTAATCCCTTCCCTTCCAGAAGCCTTCCTCAGTCCCTTTAGAGTCAGAGGCAAAGACTGAATTCTTGCAGCCCTTGTCTGTGTCCCTTAAATGGCCCTGGGTGGCCTTGTATTGTTATTTTTGACATCCACCTTCACAACTGCACAGGGGCCTCGAGGCCACACTTAGAATCCTAGATTCTTGTACTGCTTAAGGGAGCCTCGGAGAGGTCCACCCAAGGAGGCTCAAGAGGGCTTAGATAACTGCCCAAGGCCACATAGCTTTTAAGTGAGGTAGGACCCAGTGTTCTTTCTATTCCAGCAGTGTTAGACATATTCCCAGAGCTTATAAGTTATGAAGTTATTCAACTTTGCTTATTTTTTTATGATCTAAAAAATTTGGCCTAAAATGCCTTTCTGATCATCTGAGTCTATTCATTAAACTTGAGTCGTCTCTCAATTTCATTGTTTGGCTTTGTGTTTTGTATTGTCCTGTTAGTACTTCTCACTCGTTGGACCAAGAGGTCAGGTGACAGCAATTAACTTATATAATGCAGTCTGTTTTTTAGGGAAAGGGGTGACAAAATAGAGGACACTCGGGGGTCCCCACTTTACCAAATTTGAGCAACACCACAGAATAGCACACTACTTGTTCCCTGCAAATGTGTTTGTTGATGATGCGTTTCAGTAAAAAGTAAATTAAACGTTTTGTTTGGCTTCTCATTTCTGATTCATGGTACTGTACTGACAGTAAAAGGCGAACAAATTTTTGGCATTTTTTTTATTACATTTTGGGGATTGGACTGATAGTGGTACCTGCGAACATGATCTCATTAGTGAGAACTTAAGAACTGGAAGCAAGACATGGGTGTCACTGGTGTCCCCATGAGCGCCCATGATTTAAACTGCCTTCGTAAATTCAGTGCCTGTCCCAGGACCGGACCACAAATATTCATGCTCCCTGTAACAGTGACATCTGGTGGCCCCAGAGTAGTAGGACAGCAGTTGAGGCCGTGATCTGTGGATTTGGGGGAGATGAGTTTATTTTATGTCCTATAGCAGCTGCCACTCACCACAGGAGCTGCTCCCCTTTCCCTGGGAGCCCCTCCCCATGACACACTTCTCCCTGATCACTGCACATCCAGTTAGCACCTCTGGCCCAAGAACCCTTCAACATCATCCCAACTTCCTCGGGGCACCGTCCTCCCAACTGAGCAGTGGACAAGCTAATGATAACAGCCTGCGTGGGAAGAAGTGCACTTACCTGTGGGGCCTTGTCAGCTGCCATTGGTCGTGTTAGGCTGGGCCTAGCCTGGATTCTGGTGCTAGAGGACCTGTGATTTACTGCCTCCCTGGGCAGCAGGTGGCCAGGGTATTTTTAGTGTCTGGGGCCTTTAGCAGGTTTGGGTGGGGGTAGGAAGCAAAGGTGAGGCCTCGGGGATTCAGCTCTTCCAAGGTTTAAGTTCAAAGCCTCCCACTTGTGGGGTCTCTTCCTTAACTTCCTGTGGGCTTTCAGGCTCCTGGTACAGGGGCCTTCACTTCAGAAACCATGTATGTTTTCTTGCATGTCTTTGCCTTTTTCTTTTCCTAGCTGGAGACCGAGATACCTTTGGAATGCCCGGGTTGTTTGGTATCTAGGAAAGCGACTGGATATTATTAACGCCCTGAGTGCATACTCATTCCATTTCAAAGCACTTCTCCGTGCACTGTGTTATTGGATCCTCACGATGATCCCGTGAACTCTGTGGTCAGCAACTATCATCTATCTTCCTCGTACGGAAGAACCTGGTGGAGAAAGGTGAGCGATCACCCGATGTCACAGGACGTGCACACGGTGGAACCTGAAGCTGGGCTGTCCTGGCTTTGCCACCAGCCGTGCTGAGTTAGAACCCACTTGTGCTGCTCACCAGTGTTGGGATTCAGGGGAAGATGTTTAACTTCTCTCCTTATCCCCAAACTGAGAATCGTGGTCCTTGGCACATGCAGCTGTGAGGATGTCTAATCAAATACGCAATAAACTGTTCTCATCCAAATGCGAGCTCACACGGTCGGGAGCCTGGCTGGCCCAGTCGGTCAAGCATCTGACTTCGGCTCATGTTCTCACAGTTCGTGAGTTCAAGTCCTGCTTCAGGTGAGCTTGAGCCCTGCTTTGGGTGAGCCCTGGCTTCTCTCTCTCTCTCCCTCTCTCTCTCTCTCTCTCCCACTCCCCCCTCACTCAGTTGCACCCTCTCTCTCAAAAAAAAAAAAAAAATTCTCACACATTTATTTGGCTTTGTATGTGTCCAGGGCCAGGCCCTAAATATATGACACTGCCGCTGCCCTCACACGAGAGACAATCTCCGAACCAACTATTAAACTCACCAAGTGCTCAAATCTGGGGCTTCCAAGCAGGCACATCAGAGAGAGAAAAAAAGGTAAAAATGGAAAAGGCTGTGTGCCCAGATGCTTTGTCAATCGGACCCTCCGAACCTGGATTTGAGTTCCCTGGTACAACTATTTGGTGCTGCAAATGCTTTTGTGATGCCTTGTCCTTGGCATCTGTTTCCTTTCCAAGGCAACATTCTGTGTGCGCTTCAGGGAAGAGGGTGTTTTCACCAGCACTTGGATAGAATGGTATCAGCACCATGAGAGACCTGGAGAGACGGGAACAATGAAGTGACCGAGCTTTCTGCAGTGAGGGAGTGGGCGAGAGCTACGATCCAAGTCGATCCAAGTCGTGCTCTCCTGCGTTTTACCTGGAGCAGCTGAGCTGGACCCCCTGGGCTTGTCCTCTCCACGGCTGCCCCAGCATCTCTGGAGCCCAGGCATGCCTCCGTGAGCCTCGAGGTCTCCAGCTGATGGGGAGGGGCTGCTGTCAGTGTGATCCTGGTGTTTCACACCATGGATCTGTGGGCCCACTGGGTTCCAGCCTCCCGGCTGGGTGCCTACATACCTTTTCACTGGATCACTCCCTGCTTTTCTTTGTTTAGTGAGCCATTTCCCTGGGGGGTGGGCAGAATCTGTCTCGAGCCTCAGCTCATTTGCCTGTTGACCCTGAAAGCCTAAGTAGACCTAGCCAGTGAAGAGGACCTTGGCGGTCAGTGGTGGTGTTGGTGCCGACATATAAGGAATAAGGTCCTTTCCCTGTGAGTACTGGCCCCCGGTTCCTTCCCGGCCCCCATGCTGAAAGTGGTTGTTGTCCATAACTCACTAGTTCAATGTCATATTCTGTGTAGAAAGAGTTCCATGGTTGTGATCAGTCTCTAAGATTGGTAATTCCCATCATCATAATAAGAGCTCTGAGATGTCCTCTAGTGGAAAAACCTGTTTAATTTCATCGAACCCAGGATTTCCCAAGTTTGTTGGACCATGGAGGCCTCTTTTCAAGTCAACAGCACTTCCTGTCCTTCAGATTAGAGCTCCACAGAACCCACTTTGGGAAGCATAGCTACCTCCTGAGAGCTGTCAGCTGCCTTGACTCATGGCCGCATTCCACCCCAGATGCATCTCCTAGGATACCGATCCCTCCCCAAAGTGGACCTGAGCTCATCCCATCATGAGCCAGCCCCGGTTGGCCCATCTCCCCAGTCCTAATCCCACTCAGCCCTGGCACTCTGCCACGTTCCTGTTTGCCTAATAGCCATCCTAGGGCAACAGGAGAGGAGAGAGGATTCTCCTGTGTCTTCCCATCTTCACTGTCCACTCAGATCGATACCCAGAGGGTGCAGTTCACCTTCGAGCTGGGATCCCATTGGAGAGTGATCTGCTTGTTTTTCCTGCTTTCTTCCCTTCTGGTTCCTTATCCTGTGCTCCCTGACTTCTGCTTGGAATGCCCTGGGCCTGGCAGGAACCTTTTATTAGGTGAACAGGTCTCATACAGCTTCATTCCTGATTTGGAAGACTTTAGCCCTGGCTATCCTGGCTGGCAGTCTGAAAATGTCTTACTCCATTTTTGTTTTTTCTTAAATCCAAACCAGTTGTAGACCACAGCCCTCAAATATACCTGTCCTTCCTCTCTGGTTTTCTTCCTGTCCATAGTCCCACACAGGATTCTCACCACCCAGTCTCTCCCACCTGTCAGCCCTGGTCCAAGAGCCAACACTGCTGCCTGGATGGGGATGCTTGTTATGGGCCTGGGTGTGATTAGGTCCCAGCGGGTCCTGTCCAACCAAGGTGCATTTCCCCCTCTGCTTCATAATGGTTTCTTCCTCTCTGCTTTGTGATCATCATACTGGAGCCTCTGCTTTGAGTCCATCCCAGGATCTCTGGCCTCTGAATTCCATTGCCTGCTCTTCGCCTCTTTCTAAAACTTGCTCTCAGCACACCATCTAATCCTTGCGTTCACGCTGGATCAACAAAACATCGCCAGGATGGGAAAGAGTTTTATGGCCAGGGACACCCCAAGAACATGTGAAATTGGAAGACCAAGGAATGTCAGAATTTTAAAGTGCAATTTCACACAACTTAAAACTGAGAAGTAGCCAATGTCACTGTGCTCTCCCCCTCTACATCCAGGGGGGCATATTCCCTTGACATGACTGCATTTATGTTGGACTCTCTTGGGTTTAAAGGGTAAAGCATACGCTTAAGTAAGGTAGGATATCTTTACCATCTGCCACACCTTTCTGAAGCTATAACTCCTTTCCTTAGCTCATAAATTATTTAAGCTGTTTTCCTGACTCATACTTGGAATACCATCCCTGAGCATTATTTTATAAGCTTGTGAAATCTTGATATAAAACAGTTCAGTGCCTGTGTTAGTCAGCTAGCGCCAAGGGGGTAAAAAAAAAAAAAAAAAACCCACAAAAGTCTCCTCAGTTCAATGCAACAATAAGCATTTGTCTTCAGAGCTCTGTGTGTTGTCTGGGATTTGGCTGATCTGAATTGGGCTCAGCTGGTCAACTCTGCTCCGGCTGCAATGGCTGAGTGGCTCTGCCTCTCACATCAGGTCTCTGGACCACGTTGGTGGCTTTGCTCTACATGTCTCTCATCCTGTCCTCCTTAGCAGACTAACCAAAGCTTGTTCTTCTGATGGTGCCAGCAGAAGCAGAAGAGAGAAGTCCCAGTGTGCAAAACACTTCCATCCCTGCTGTATCACGTCTACTACCAGCCATTGGCCAAAGAAAGTCACATGGCCAAGCTCAAAGTCCCCGCGAAAGGACACTCCATCCATGATGAGGCTATAGTAAGGGAGTGGGTGGAGAAAGGAGTGAAGAACTGGGGCCGATAGTACCACCATGCTCACCTGTGGTACATAGGAAAGGGGTAAAGGGTTTCTTCTGACCATTGCTACAGCAGCATTTTGTTGCAGAGATGCTCCAGGGAACCCAGAAGTCCTGGGAAACTCTTGAAGGTAAGTCTGAAAGGAAAAAAAAATGTGTGTGTGGGTGGGGGGAACAGCCCCGGTTGGCCCATCTTCCCAGTCCTAATTCCATTCAGCCCTGGCTTTCTGCTACATTCCTGTCTGCCTAGTAGCTGAGCCATCCTAGGGCAACAGGTGAGGAGAGAGGATTCTCCTGCGTCTTCACATCTTCACTGTCTAGTGATTGTTTTTCACAACAGTTCTCTCCTGGGAAGCTCTTCAAGATGCTCACAGGCTCCCTGAGCCAGAGAACCAGGACGCCACCCAGAGTGTTCCCAAGGAGTGTAGAGGGAGCAGGCAGCAGAAGGGCAACATGGCGACCAAGTAACTCTTCCATGGCTAAGGGTGGTGAACCTTTATGTTCTGACAAATGTGCACCAACGAAAGCACTGAGGGAGTGAGAGCCCCTGGAGCAGCCAGGTGAGGATCTGCCTTACCCAAGACAACAACTGTTTTAGCTGTGTGTTCTGATGTTTTCCCTGCTTTCTTCCCCCATGTTTCTGTTGCTGTTTCTTGATTTTTCAACTTTAGACACAACCTATTTTTTTCTTACCTTGGAAGATAAGAATTTAACACTCTTGCACTGTCCCCCATTTCCACCCCCACACATATATCCCTTCCCCCGTATTCCCAATATAGATAGTTTGGTTAAATGAATAGTTGGTATGCACATTGTTGTGAATATGAAAAAGAAAATTGTTTACAACTGGGCCATTTAATATACTATGGGTACATTTCTTCTCAGTGCAACCTTTTGATAATTGCCCTTCTTTGCATATTTGTTTGCTTGGTTTTCCACATACTTATCAATAAGACAACCTAAACTGTCAATACTGAAAACTTCACTGATACAATCAAGCATAAGGTCAACTGTTAGTTTCTTTTGTCTGATGGCTTGAGACAGCCTGCTGGGAACCATTCGTTCTCTTGCTTCCAGCTATACAGGTTGCTATGGACACCTCTGCATAGCTGTTGTTCTGGAAACTCCTTTGCTACCCTCTAGTGTTGAATTCCATGCTACCTGCATCCTGTGTCTTCATTTTGGTCTATCCTCTTGAGGGAGCACAACTACTCATAGCCTCCTGAGAAAAGGTTCATGAGACCTTACTTGTCTGAAAATGTCATTATTCCATCTGCATGATTGATTGATAGTTTGCTTAGGTATAACATTCTAGGTTGGCAATAATTTTCCCTCAGAATGTCTCTTTTCTTACTTTTTATTTTGAATTTAATTTTAGACTTTCAGAAATGTTGCAAAAACATTAGCATTCTATGTAATGCCTTTACTGAGCTTCCCCCCATGCTAACATCTAACATAGCCATGGTACAATGATAAAAACGAAGACATTAATTTGGATACACTAGTATTAAGTGAGTTACAGACTATGGATTTCATCAGTTTTCCCAATAATGTCATTTTATTTTTCTAGGGTCCATTCTAGGATCCCACATTACATCTAGTTGTGGAGTCTACTTAGTCTCTTCCAATCTGGAACAGTTCCTTAGTTTTACTTTGTCTTTCATGATCTTAACAGTTTTGAAGAATAGTGGTCAGTTATTTGGTAGAACATCCCACAATTTATATTTTTCTGATTTCTCATAATTAGACTGAGGTGACAGAATTTTGGCAAGAAATTTTTTTGCAAGAATGCCCTTCTTAGTGCATCCAATCAGGGGTGTGTGAAGGTGGTATAACTTATTACTGACGATGTTAATATTGACCACTTGGCTATATAGTTTGGGCCAGTTTTCTCCACTGTAAGTGGAGATTTTTCTTTTCATAATTAATAAATATAGTGGTGGGCATAGTTTTTATTATTATTACTTTAATTTCATTATAGTTAACATACAATGCTACGTTAGTTTCAGGTGTACAATATAGTGATTCAGCATTTCGTTACAGCACCCGGTGCTCATCACAAGTGCACTTCTTAATCCACATCACCTCTTTCATCCATCCCCCTCCCCCACCTTGTAACCATCTGTCTGCTCTTTATAGTTAAGGGTCTGTTTTTTTGGTTTATCTCTCTTTTTTACCTTTTGTTCATTTGTTTCTTAAATTCCACATATGAGTGAAATTATATGGTATTTGTCTTTCTCTGACTTATTTCACTTAGCATTGTACTCTCTAGCTCCTTCCATGTTGTTGCAAATGGCAAGATTTCATTCATTTCTCTGAATGATATTCCACCACCTCTTCTTTATCCATTCATCTATTGATGAACACTTGGACTGCTTCCATTAATTTGGCTATTGTAAACAATGCTGTGATAAACATAGGGGTGCATATATCCTTTCAAATTAGTGTTTTCATATTCTTTGAGTAAATACTCGATAATGTGATTACTGGATCATATGGTGGTTCTATTTTTAATTTTTTGAGGAACCTCTGGTGAATATACTTTAAAACTATGCAGATATCCTGTTTATCTTCAAACTTTCACCCACTAATTTTAGCCTCAATTGGTGAATCTTGCCTACAACAATTATTACTGTAATGTTCTTAATGGTAATTTTCTGTTTTCCTCCTTTTACATTTGTTAATGGAATTTTTGTAAGGTAGAGCTGTCGCTTCTCTTACATTTATTTAGTCATCCATTTATTCTTCACATCAGCATGGATTCACAGATATTTATTTTATTCTAGGGGGTATAGTCCAGTTTCATTGCTAAAATTGCTCTTAGGTGCCTGAGTGGCTTAGTCAGTTAAGCATCTGACTCTCTCCCCTTTCTCTGCCCCTCTCCCTATCTCTCTCTCTCAAAATGAATAAATACACATTTTAATTAATTAATTAATTTAATTGCTCTCAGAACTTTGAAGGCCTTGCTCCATTATCCTTTAAGATTTCAGTATAGTTATTAAGAAGTTTAATACGGGGCGCCTGGGTGGCGCAGTCGGTTAAGCGTCCGACTTCAGCCAGGTCACGATCTCGCGGTCCATGAGTTCGAGCCCCGCGTCGGGCTCTGGGCTGATGGCTCAGAGCCTGGAGCCTGTTTCCGATTCTGTGTCTCCCTCTCTCTCTGCCCCTCGCCCGTTCATACTCTGTCTCTCTCTGTCCCAAAAATAAATAAACGTTGAAAAAAAAATTAAAAAAAAAAAAAAAGAAGTTTAATGCCATTCTGGGGCACTGGGGTGGCTCAGTTGGTTAAGCATCTGACTCCGGCTTAGGTCATGATCTCATGGTTTGTGGGTTCAATCCCCAAGTCGGGCCCTGTGCTGACAGCTCGGAACCTGGAGCCTGCTCCGGATTCTGTGTCTCCCTCTGTCTCTACCCCTCCCCCACTCTCACTATGTCTCTCTCTCTCTCTCTCTCTCAAAAAAAAATAAGCATTGGGCACCTGGGTGGCTCAGTCAGTTGAGCGACTGACTTCAGCTCAAGTCATGATCTCATGTGAGTTCAAGCCCTGTGTCAGGCTCTGTGCTGACAGCTCAGAGCCTGGAGCCTGCTTCTAATTCTGTCTCCCTCTCTCTCTGCCCTTCCCCCACTCATGCTCTCTTTTTCTCTCTCTGTCTCAGAAATAAACACAAAAAAATTAAAAAAATAAGCATTAAAAAAATTTTTTTAAAAAGAAGTTTAACACGATTCTGATTCTTGATCTATTGTATGTGACCTGTTTTTCTCTTTTAGGATGTTCTGAAATTTCCCAGTATTAAGTTTTTGTATTTATCTTTATAAAATGTATTGTATTAGGCCCTCTATAGACCCTTTCAAGGTAGAAATTCATATGTTCTGGGAAATGTTCATGTTTTATATTTCTGATAATTCATCCCCCTTTACTTTTTTGTATTTCTGGCATACCCATTATTCTGATGCCAAACTTTTGGACTAGTTCTCTAGTGTTCTTATGTTTTAATTTCCTGTTCTATATCCCTTATATTTTATTCTATTTTTCAGGGGATTTTTATTTCTAGTTCATCTCCCAACTTTGTGTTAGATTTTTCCATGTAGATTCCAAGGACTCTTTCTTGTTATCTAAATATTTTTTATAGCAATTTGCCTCATGGGTGTGATATCTATTCTTATTTCCAAGGACATACATATTTTTAAGTTCATCTTATTTTTAAGAGAGAGAGAAAGAGAGAGTGTGATCGGGGGAGGGACAGAGGAAGAGGGAGAGAGAGAATCCCAAACAGGCTCCGCACTGTCAGTGTGGAGCCTTACACAGGGCTCAATCTCATGAACTGTAAGATCATGAACTGAGCTGAAATCAAGAGTCAGTCACTTAACCAACTGAGCCACCCAGGTGCCCCGACTATTTCTAAGGATTTTTATTGTTTGTGGGAAGTTTTCTTTTGTTTCCTGCAATGATCTCTTTTTCCTGAGTTACTTTTGTTTTGTCTCTCTCTTTCATGTTAGAGGCTCTTTGTCACAAGTTCTGTCAACCTTTATTGTCTGTTTTCATTTGAGTAATGCCTTGCCCAGGACATCCACACTGTGCCAGGCATTATCCATGGCCCTCTTGAAGGGCAAAGTGTGGCTTTACAGTGGACAGATCTAGCAGTACCTGCCTTCACCAAACTTAGCTTCACCACTAGTAAGATATGCAGATGTTATCTCCTGATGGGATGCAATATGAGGTAGAAAGCTTCACCTATAGGACTTGCCAAAAACACCTTATCTGAATGTATTCATGCCTTTAGATATAAATTCCAGTTGACAGGATTTACAAGAGATACAGGGACAAGTTAAATGATACCACAAGGAAACAATCAGGACCCTCCTTCAGTTAAGTGGCCTGGTCCCTTCAAAAAAGATAACACTGTGGGGCAAATAAAAGGAAGAGGACTGTTCTAGGAAGGAGAATAAAGAGACATAATAACCAAATGCAATGACATTCTAGGAACAATGGGGGAAATTTGAATATGGATTGAATATTAGAATATATTAGGGAATTATTTTAAATTTTCTTAAGCCTGACCATGGATTATGTGTGGATTTTAATTATGTATGATGATGTCCTTATACTGAAATATGCAGGGGTGAAATATCATAATGTCTGCAGCTCATTTTCAAATGGTTCAGAGAAACAACGTATGTACACACTTCTACCTAAAGATACAGATAAACCGGGGTGCCTGGGTGGCTCAGTCGGTTGAGCGTCCAACTTCAGCTCAGGTCACGATCTTGCAGTCTGTGAGTTCGAGCCCTGCGTCAGGCTCTGGGCTGATGGCCCAGAGCCTGGAGCCTGCTTCCGATTCTGTGTCTCCCTCTCTCTCTGCCCCTCCCCCGTTCATGCTCTGTCTCTCTCTGTCTCAAAAATAAATAAATGTTAAAAAAAAAAAAAAGATACAGATAAACCAAAGGGGCGCTTGGGTGGCTCAGTCACTTAAGTGTCTGACTTCAGCTCAGGTCATGATCTCATGGTTCATGAGTTCAAGCCCTGCATCGGGCTCTGCACTGGCATCGCGGAGACTGCTTGGGATTCTCTCTCTCCCTGTCTGTCTCTGCCCCATCCACTGCTCATGCTCTCTCTCTCTCAAACATGAATAAACATTTATTAAAAAATAAATAAATAAAGATAAAGCAAATTTGTTAAGATGCTAACTATTGTAGAACTTAAGAGGTAGGTATATGGGGGTTCATTATATTTGGAATTTGTTCACCTTTTTCCATAGTAAAAATGGAGGTGGAAAAAAAAGAAGAAGATACCAAAGAGCTGCTAGAAGCTTGTGCGAACCCTGGGCCCATCATTTGGTGAGCCCACTGTTTCATCAGAGGACCTACAAATGTCAATGTCATGTTCCTTCTCTCTAGTTCTGTCTAGAACTCCTACAGAGCCCCCAGTCCCTGCCTGGGGTGTGTAAACCTCACTGCCAGCACACGGGAATTAAATGGGGAAGGGATCTGCGCAGTCTCACCAGTCAATTCACAATCTTTCACTGAATTCTCCTGTTTTCATAGGTGTCTCACACCATCCTCAACTGGGTAATGCCTCCAGCAAATAAACCAACGGCAGCCTACCAGGGAGCACAGGGACAGTTGCCTGGCGTGAGTAAAATAGTGAAGGAGTCTGAGGGTCTGTCTTTTCATATGGGCTTCCCAGCAATTCCGTTTTCAGCCCCATTTTGTTTTTTTTTTTTAATTTTTTTTTTTCAACGTTTATTTATTTTTGGGACAGAGAAAGACAGAGCATGAACGGGGGAGGGGCAGAGAGAGAGGGAGACACAGAATCGGAAACAGGCTCCAGGCTCTGAGCCATCAGCCCAGAGCCCGACGCGGGGCTGGAACCCACGGACCGCGAGATCGTGACCTGGCTGAAGTCGGACGCTTAACCGACTGCGCCACCCAGGCGCCCCTTCAGCCCCATTTTGAAGCTCCCTGGTATTTCAGGTCTGGAGATCGCTTGGGGTTTGGTGCAGCTAATCACTTGCTCATCACTGTGAGACTATAGAGCGTGGTCTCTGGGCCACACCTCTGCAGCTTCTGCTGTGTGACCTGGGCAAGTTATCTAACGGGTCTGTGCTTCATCTCCAAAATCAGGACACAAATTCTAGCATTGTTGGAGGATTATATGACTTAATATACCTTCAACACTTAGACTAGAGCTTAGCACAGAGGAAGTCCTTTGAGCTACACACACACACCCCAAAGCCCAGCCAACTTAGGTTTCCACTTTGTCTGGTCTATGAGATCACTTTCCATCTTCCATAATAGTATTGCTATCTCAAGCCTGCTACCCTCCCTTCCATTTTCTTCATCCTTGTGGGGTTTGGCCCTTTTTTTTTTCTTTTTTTTTAATCCCTTTGCCCTCCTGCTGATGAGGTTTGGGCAGATAGTAGAGTTACATGTATGTTGTATTTCAAAACCTTAAACCACAAGTCTCCACAGCTTTCTTTCTTTGTCCCTGCTAATGACCCCCTTCAGGTAGTATATTAATCATATTCTAGGCTGAATTCACTGGAGTGTTTCAAGCAGAGTCTGGGGAGTGAGTGTCCAGGCTTTTCAATCAGGTCTGGAACTAGCTCTTAATGTTAATCTAGAAAATGGCTGAGAAGTGCCCCAAGATGAATCTACTGGTTGAACTCCTTTCTGAAATCTGAGTCATCACCACTGGCTGAGGGGAAGGAAGGGCTCGTGGTATGACAGGCCACCTCAAAGCTTGTGTAAGAACCTTGTGACCCACGGCTGTGTCAGAACAAAAACAACCAGCGGTCTTCTCACCCCCACAGCCCAGAGCTCTTGATTCCTAGGGATCATCTGATCCCTGGAGAACTTAATCTTATCCCTAAGTGGTAGAAGGGTGGATCTTTGTGAATGTCTTACTTGAAGAGTTTGGAATGCTGGTTTAAAAGAATGAACTCCCTCCCCAGCTAAGATCAGGCCCATGGAATTCTGTGAGCTTCAGTTCTTCTGCCTGGGTCATGGTGTTGGCTGCACTTGGAGAAGCCCTGCTCAAAGTGCAGGATACAACTGAGGAAAAAGTGGCTTTTCCAATTAAAGAATGACGCTACCTTCTGGCTACTTGTCTCTTTTACTTTAGCACACTCTACTGACAGAAGTAAAAGCGCTTGGACTACTTATTTTCCATTTTCTTTCTTTTTTTTTTTTTAATTTTTTTTTTTCAACGTTTATTTATTTTGGGGACAGAGAGAGACAGAGCATGAACGGGGGAGGGGCAGAGAGAGAGGGAGGCACAGAATCGGAAACAGGCTCCAGGCTCTGAGCCATCAGCCCAGAGCCTGACGCGGGGCTCGAACTCACAGACCGCGAGATCGTGACCTGGCTGAAGTCGGACGCTTAACCGACTGCGCCACCCAGGCGCCCCTATTTTCCATTTTCCATCCCCCACCGTTGTCTACTCTGCTCTACACCCTGGGAGACCAACCTCTGATGGAGAGCATGGGAGGGTGGGAGGAAGGAGAATCCAGATTGTTAATCCCCTGCTCACTCCCCATTCCAGAGGGGTGTTCCCAGGCTAACCAGTCAGCTCTCCACTCCTGGGCTCAGGGCCATCTTTTCTAAGTAAGAAAAGGTGAGAAGGTGGCAGTTCCACACACCCAGACCTTCCCTCGGGGGCCTTCTTTCTGCACACAGTAGGTCCTTGCTGTGGGAACAATGAGAGGCATGTGGCCCACATTCACATGGCCTCAAGCAAAGTTGTGAAGTTCCAGCTTTTTCCTTTCTGGGAGCACTTCTTATGTTTTTCAACTGTTCTCAACTTTAAGCTTTGCTTTCTTAGCAAAACCTCTCCTGCAAAGATCTTGAGAATTCATTCCCATTAAAGTGCAGATAACTAACTATCCTTGCTGCCCTTCTTCTGGTAAATGTTCTTTTAAAAACTAAGTCCAAAGGATGAACCTGTAAACGTAGAATTTCAAAGAGAAGTGGAATTGAGTGTGGGATTCAATTTCCAGTCTTCTGAAATCATTCCTATGCGTTCAACCTACTAGCCTTTATAAGAGGAGGGTGCATTTAAATGTGGTGAACAAAGCATAATGCATAAACTTGTCCAATAACTATGTTGTACACCTGAAAAAATGTAGCATTGTGTGTCAGCTATACTCAGGTAATAAAAAAATAAAGTGCATGGAGGAGATACTAATTGTAGGCTTCCAGTACTCATAGTGAACGTGCTCTGGGCCAGGAAGGGGCAGAAGAGAAGCACTGAAACAGAGATGTTAGTAGATGTAGCAAGAAGGCAGATGGAGGCTAAGTGTCCAGAGTTTCAGAATTCAGAAGAGCTATCTTGCTGTCTTTTGACCTCAGTCCCATTCCTTCCCCCCACCCTCCAGCCACTCTCTCACCAGCAGTGACACCCTCTTTACTCCAGAACAAGGCTGGGTCTGGAAAATCCTAAGGGTGGCAGAAGGGATCTGCAAGAAAAGTCTGGGCCCCCAGAACTCTGTGTTTCATATGCATTTTAGCATGACTTCATTGTTGTCCCACATCGAAAGCTAGACTACATTTTTTTTTTAGAGGCCAGGGACCACGTGTCTCCTTCGTCCTGTAGCTCTTGTACATAGTTCAGTGTTTTGCACATAGTGGGTGCTCAAGAGATGCGAGTTGACTACATGGACGCATTACCACACTGAATTCTCACAAGAACTTTGTGAGGTACCCCCTATTATCATTCCCATTCTGTAGATGAGGCAGCTGGAACTTCATTGGGCTAAAAAAAATCTGCCCCAGGTTACGGAGTTGGTGAGGCACAGAGGTGGTGTACTAGTCAGTTCTGACTGACTTTATGGCCAGACTCCAAGCCAGCGCACTTGACTGCATTTAGACAATACCGATTTGAGCGAAGTGGAGGGGGGTGGGCAAGGTGCTGTAGCTCCATCTTGGTAGTGATTCTCTCATGGAAGAATTTTTGTAACCCTGAAAATCTTTATGTACATTTCTTTATATTCTTTATATTTTCCCTCCTGGTTAGGTTAACATTTAATGAAGTTTGTGGAATTCAAAAAGGTAGGTAAAAATGGCAAAATGACATAGTGTCAATGTTCATAATCTGGAGATAATTTATAATCATTATGCCTCCTTTTATTTGAAGAATGGGAAATGCTTTTATGAGAATTAATTTGTTTAGATTTGTGATTTCATGCTTGAAGTAGGTTGCAAAAATATCCACATGGATGTTTCCAGGCTCCAAATTGTGGCAGGGGTGGGGGGAGGGGGGTCAGGGGAGGGAGAAGGATTCATTATGAGGACCTAGCTTGAAATCTGAGGCAGAACAATGCCATTTCTTCATGGAAAAGTTTTAAATACTTATGCTCTGTAGCTACATAGCCAAATTTCCTTGGGGGTGAATGTGTCAGAGGAGTGGAAATCAAGACAATGAGGTAAAAATGAAAGACTCCTTTTTTTTCCTTTCTAAAATTATTTTGTTTTTCCTCAGCTGCTGCTTTTACGAGCCGTGTGGGAAAGGGATGCAGGGGTCACGCTTCACCACACCAAGAAATCCTTCTCTCAGTAAGTCGAAGGCAGTCACAGGTTTCCATGATCTTGTGAGAGGAGAATGCCATGGGTCATACTGAACTCATGTTCCTCGTTCCTAATTAAGTGTCCTCTAGAAACCTTCTAGCATGCATTCCGGTTGATTACCCCTTACCAATGTGATTGTACTCATCATGGGTACAACCAGAAGTTCACAGAACCAAACCAATGGGAGCTGTTGGGGAAATATAATTAAAATCAAATCTCCTGCCAACCCAGAAAACTTCTCCACAAAGGTAGTAGAGAAATAAAACAGTTTTCTTTTTTTAAAAAAGGTTTTTTAATGTTTATTTTTGAGAGAGAGAGACAGACAGAATGCGAGTGGTGGAGGGGGTAGAGAGAGAGGGAGACACAGAATCTGAAGCAGGCTCCAGGCTCTGAACTGTCAGCACAGAGCCCGATGCGGGGCTGGAACTCATGGACCGCAAGACCATGACCTGAGGAGAAGTCAGATGCTTAACCAACTGAGCCACCCAGGCACCCTAAGAAAACAGTTTTCTTACTGAATAAGCGTTCAACCAGAATGTGATGTGCATCATAGGCAATTGGCTAGAGATTGCAAAGACAAGAAGGAATCTCACTCTTTTAGATGGCTAGGCAGTCACACAACCTATTACCGACATAATAACCAGTCCTCAAGTTAGAGGACTTAACAGCACCATTTGTCACTCAAGGTTCATCCTAGATTTACCTGGTAATTGGGGTCACCATCTGTTAGGTAATTGACTTTAACCTAAAGAGAAACAAACTTCTCAGATCTTTATGACAGGAGGTGGTTTTGCAACTTGAAGGGAGGCACCTGCCCAGTTAGGCTCCTACCCTCCTACAGAGACTGAGAGATAGGCCCCGTCTCCCTTGATGATGACATTTCAAAGGGATTGGTCCCAGATCATGGAGAAAGACATTCCTGAGTCCTAAAGCTGGCAACAGCCTTAGCTTTTTAAAAGGATTTACATACATTTCACGGGGCACCTGGGTGGCTCAGTCAGTTAAGCATCTGCTCAGGTCATGATCTCGTGGGTTCAAACCTCGTGTTGGGCTTTGTGCTGACAGCTCAGAGCTGGAGCCTGCTTTCGATTCTGTGTCTCCCTCTCTCTTTTACCCTCCCCTGTTCACGCTCTCTCTCTCGCTCTCAAAAATAAATAAACATTAATAAAAATTTTTGAAAAGGATTTACATACATTTCAAAGAGATGGAGGAAAGAACTTACAAATTGTCTGAAGTAAATGCTCTAAGAAAAGGGATGCAGGGAGACATCTCTTATTTTCAACAGGGACAGTTAAGCTTCCTATTTTGAATTTGTATTTGCCCTCACAGGCAGCCTAGGTTAGCCTCTCTACCTCCTGTTCATTCAGGGACTCTCCCATCTTGTGCCAGGCTCTGCAGAAAGAGGCACACGCTCATCATTCATAGCTCATTCATAGCTCATCATTCCTATTTGACTTCCATCTGTCTGAAGGCTGGGCCTGGGGCTTCTGGAAGGGAGTGCCCCACCCCCATTCTCCACTCACTCTGCCGAGTTGTGTCATTTTGGTTCTGAGGAAGGTGCAAGTCTTGTGTGAGGGGACCTCACCACACCACCTGAGGTTGGGGCAGGGACACTTGAAGTGTCAATGTGTGTTTTAAATCCTTGAGGACAAGAAGGAAAGACAGGGTCCTGGATCACCCACATGCGGGGCATGGGTGCCTGGTCCACACTGAGGGACACAACTACCCCACCTCAGCAGTAGGAGGCACATGTCGTAGACCAGTGAGGACGGACCACTGAAAACCACAACATACAGAACCGAGTCAAAACCAAAGCCTGCAGCTCACTTGGCAAAGGATGGATTCTGACCAAGGGAGGAAGGAGAAAACCCTTCCAAATCAGTGAGCCAGAAAGGGAGAAACTCAGCCTCACGTTCAGATGGGTAAGCAGCTCTCCAAACTAGAACAGTTCTCCCTGTACACAGTGTTACAGAAAGAGAAAGACCAGAGTCATTTCAATATAAGAAAATGGACACCTGCTGTTCTGCATGTAGAGCTACATCCGCTGGCACATGTTCCTGCTCCTTCACTCGCTCTTGGGGACTAGTGGGAGGCTGACGGATCTGAAAGGTGTGGGGCAATTGGAACAGGCCAAACACCTCTCAGGTAAGGACAGCACCATTAAAAACAAAACAAAACATATATATGTATATATATATATATATATATATATATATATATACATATGTGTGTGTGTATATATATATATATATAATGAATATGTATGTGTATCTCTGAGCAGGAGAGCAGGAGGGAAAACCTTCCACCTGCCCCCCTGCCTCCCGCTTCTGTGGCCCTGGAGGGTGCTGGCCTGTCTCAGGCGGGGAAGCAAGGGCTGAGGCTCCCCTCCTGACTACTGACTGCCCTACTTTTCAGTTGCCAGTAAGAAAGGGAGTGTAATTCCCAGTAGTAAGGGCTCTCCTGGACCTAGTGTCACTTTTGCTTCTGGACAGGCAAGACTATCTCCCCCATGGTCCTCAGGGAAGGCCCTGAGAAAGGATGGAGTCCCACCCTCCCTCCAGCACCACCAGTGTTAACAGGTGGAAGCAGAAGGAAGGATGGGCGCCCCCTGGCACCCTCCTTTCAGGCACTGGCTCTGGGCGCCATGGCTGCTCTCAACGGCTGCCTTCGGGGGCTTGGCCTCTCCTGAGGTCTCCTAGCACACCCTGCTACCCTCACTTAGCCTTCTCTCTCCTGCTAGGACTAAAATGCAGGTGGTTCTGAGCATGACATGTTCCAGAAACAGCACAGATGACTTTTTCCTGTTGTTTGTACTACAGAGGATGCCTGACGTGCAGGTTTGTCCTGGCGTTTTGGCTCCCGAGCTGATGAACCTCTTGGAGCTCTCATTTTGGGGATTTCATTCTGGACAGTTCAGAGGGCCTGAGGACTCCCTGCCAGCTCATCCAGTTCAGTAGCTTCAGTCAGCTATTCATTTCTCACCCAGATGCTTAATGAGCAGCCCTCAGTACCTAATATCGTTACAGGCTTCCAAGAGGACCAAAGGCTGTAAGGCATCCCCTGATCTCTAGGAACTTAGACCATACTTCTGGAGGCCACATGCCCACACATGAAACAGCCCCACTTCAGGCACTGAGAAGGGGGTCAGCACCATGAGAGTTCAGGAAGGGGGGTGAACATGGGCTGAGGTATCCAGGCAGAGCTTCCTGCAGAGGTGGGACCTGAGGGTCCTCAAAATCATGGGCAAGGTTCAAACAGGAAGACATCCTATGCCTAAAAAACAGCAGGGGTTTGGGAGGCTTCCCTAAGGTTGTGTGACCCTGGAGGACCCTGCCACGCTAGCATCCCTCATGTAAGTACAAGGACCGCCCGTTGACACGGAAACTTGAAGGGCTGGAGAACATGCACAGAGGGGCATCAGAAAGCCAAGGAAGGTGCTACGGGACCTTGCGTCCTGTGGGATTCCCATGCTCACGTGAGGTGAACGTCTCAGAAGCTGATGAGGTAGAAGGCCAGCAGAAATGCCCTTGGACTCTGAGGCTCTCAACCTCACCTTCCGGCCAGAGGATTGTATAGTGAACATCCCAGAACTCACCTGCTGGGTAATCGTCTGTGACATTCCTTCCTTCCAAGCAGAGACCAGCAGGGAGTTACGGTCAACGCTACCTGGGCATGGTTCTTAACGATATTTTGCTTTGTTATCCTTCTTCCCAAATCTTATCCAAGGTGGGGTGATGAGAGGAGCTCTCCTGGGGCTTGTTAAGAGCACATCTGCCTTCAAGGATTTGGGACTCTCGGCATGTACCACCTGCTGGCCCCTTGTCCACTCTTTTTGATCTAAGCAGGGAACATACACTTGGAGCTGGACAAGAGCATCGTGCGTCCTGGTGTCAGAAAGGAGACTGGCAATTGTCAAGAGAAGAGAGACAAATGCCATAGTCTGATGGCCGCTGTGGTGACGGGATGTCTGCACCAGCAGGGCCAAGCATGTGCGTGTCAGGCAAAAGAACCCCGGTCTCCCTCTGTAACTTGCCTTCCTGCCTCAGGATCCTGTCTCCACCCAAAGTCAGCTACCCAAGCTATTTTCCTAAGTGCAGATCTCCCTGCCATATATCAAAACAGTTCAGGAGACAGTTCATGGCTGATGGACACTTGGCCATTACAGAGATACAGAAATGTTGGGTAAACTATTACCAAAACCATTGTATTTTAACACACACTGTCCTTGAACAAAAGAAGGGATATGCTCAAGTGGCAGAAATGAAGACAAATCACAGCCAAAGCAGTTAAGTGTAAGCTGGGAGCCTGGAGTCCATGGAAATATGAAGGAAGCCAAGTTTAGGCCCAGTTCCTAGGGCCTAAACTTGTAACACCTACATGGGAACAGGAGGTATGGCCTTAGGCTTGCTTGGAAAAGAGAATATGTTGATCTGAGCTCAGTAGAAAAGCAAGATTATCAAAGAGACATCCCTTCCTTAAAAGGAGATTGGGAAATGCTACCCATTAAAAGAAGTATGAGGAAGCAAATGATCTATCTTGGGACAGGAGTACAAAAAAAAGAAAAAGAGAAATGAAAGAAAGAAAGAAAGAAAGAGAAAAAAGAAAGAAAAGAAAGGAAAGAAATAAAGAAAGAGAAAAGAAAAGAAAGAAAGAAAGAAAAAGAAAAAGAGGGGTGCCTGGGTGGCTCAGTCGGTTGAATGGTTGAATGTCTGACTTCGGCTCAGGTCATGATCTCGCAGTTTGTGAGTTTGAGCCCCGCGTCCGGCTCTGTGCTGACAGCTTGGAGCCTGGAGCCTGCTTCGGATTCTTTGTCTCCCTCTCTCGCTGCCCCTTCCCCGTTCATGCTCTGTCTCTCTCTCTCTCTCAAAAATAAACATTAAAAAAATTAAAAAAAAAAAAGAAGAAAGAGAAAGAAGAAAGAAGGAAAGAGTCACCTGTCAGAAATTGAATCACTAGGGCCTATGCCATGCATGGGCACAGAATCCAGATCGATGCCACCCATGAGGCCCATGGGCCCCGAAGCAGAGAAACTAACATAATGTTTGATCTAAAACAGGTGAAACCTCCAGGAGCCTAATAGATACTAAGGTGAAACCACTCTGTGTAGTGACACTGTCACAACCCAGGGCACATGGGAGTCACACAGGAAAAACAAATCCTCCCGAAGATGAGCTCACAATACAAAGTGACAAATCACATGAGGAAAGGAGGCTCTGTGCGTGGGAACCAGCAAATGCATCCAGCAGGGCATTCACCATCTCAAGGACTGTGGGTCATAGAACCATCTGGAAGAAACTATAAACACATCCACACCCAGCGCTTCAAGAGTAGAACCCAGCAGTTCTGGCCCCACCCCAACTTGTTCCTCTTGTGTCCATCTTCTCAGATCATTCGGATCCCTCCTGTCACACTCAACATCTTGAGCCGTTTCCAAATTCTTCTTCTCTCAGCTTTTACCCTTAAAACTGGCTTTCAATTTCCCATCTCTTTCCCTCCTCTCCAGTATCACTATGAAGGCCACCTAGCGGGTCTTCCTGCCTGCCTGCCTCCAGTGTCTCCCTTCTGTTTATTCCACCGTCTCACTGCCACTAAGTTATCTTCCTAAATGGCAAGTCCAGAGGTTTCGCTTCCCTGAGCCAGATTTCAAAAGTCCAGATCTTCCCCAACTTGGACTTGAGTTCTTTCCAGTTTTGTTTCCTATTATAATACACCCACCCCTCACTCCAGCCTCCTGCTTGGGCCACTCCAGCTTACTTGTTCTTCCTTCACTCCCCCTTACACCTCCAAGCAGTCTCCTCCCTTTGACTAGGCTGCTCCTCTCGTAAATCTGCTGAAGGTCAACCTTGGCTTAAACCTTCTAGAAACATGTCCTGGAAGAACACAAGTATCATTTGGGCTGGACTTATCTGGTTTCAAATTCCAGATCTGTCACTTAATAGCTCTGTGCCTCAAGCAAGTCGCAACCTCTCCCAACCTCAGTCTCTAATTATGCCAAATGAGAATGATACCTACTTTGCAGAGTTGAGAGAATGACAGATAATCTATGGAAAGCCCCGAGCACAGAACTTGGCCCCAGTGAGTGCTCAATCAACAGTTGCTGAATTGAGACTCTATCTGCATTGTTATGGGAGTTTTGTCTTATTGCTTTCTTAGCCAGAGCTCCATGAGGGCCAAGGCCTTGTCCAATCTGTCTTTGCATCTTTGCACTTTCCTGTGTCTGACACAGGAAAACCGTCTACTGACAAGTACTGGAAAGAACTCGGCATGACTAAGCTGATGTTAGAAGGGAAGAATTTGAGTAGGAGGACCGGGTGGATCTCAGATGTTGGAGGGGTATTGAGGGCCCATTTATACTGCGTCACTCCAGACAGGGAGCTATAAGGAGCATAGTTGTAGCCCAGGGTAGCTCCAAAACATAGAGCTGTTTAACATGAGAGCACGCGTCAAATATAAGCTGCTGGCCATTAAAAACTCAGATTATAGGGGTGCCTGGGTGGCTCAGGCGGTTAAGCGTCCGACTTCAGCTCAGGTCATGATCTCATGGTTTGTGAGTTCGAGCCCCATGTCTGGCTCTGTGCTGAGAGCTTAGAGCCTAAAGCCTGCTTTGGTTTCTATGTCTCCCTCCCTCTCTCTCTCTCTGCCCTCCCCTTCTTATGCTCTCTCTCTCTCTCTCTCAAAAAATAATAAATAAAACATAAAAAAAAAAAAACCGCTCAGATTATAGAAAGTATTCCTGGGTTGGATGATGGATAAGACCAGATCAGTGATTCTTAACTTTTACGAGTCACAAAATGGATCTTCTTCCCCACCCCACCCCCAAAACAGGTTCCAAGCAAAATATTTTGCAAATAATTTCAGGAGCTTTGTGGTTCCTAGGTTAAGGTCACCTGAAAACCCTTGTAGGATGCTGTGTTCAACTTTCTTTTTTTACTATTAATAATGAGAAAGAAGCATTTCTGTTGCATGTGTTTTCAAAATTCACACTTGACATCTAAAGAGCCTGGCTCATAACTAAAAACTCAGTGCCTTTTGTCCAAATTCAATGTTCTATACATTTTTTAAAATTAAATGAATGAATTAATGAAATCTTTGATTAATCTGATCTTTAAGGGAAAATGTGTGCTGTAAGAAGAAAAGAGAAGGAAAAAAAAGACAAAAATGAAACGCTTTAGACAAAGACCAATATAGGATGATAAAAGGTAGAGAAGAGGGGCGCGTGGGTGGCTCAGTTGGTTAAGTGACTGACTCCTGATTTTGGTTCAGATCATGATCTCATGGTTTGTGGGTTTGAACCCTGTGTCAGTCTCCACACTGGCAGTGTGGAGCCTGCTTAGGATTCTGTCTCTCCTTCTCTCTCTGCCCCTCCTCTGCCCTCTCTCTCTCTCTCTCTCTCAAAATAAATAAATAAACTTAAAAAAAAAAAGGTAGAGAAGAATTAATCAGGGTCAGAGAAAAGGATAAATTTTGGAAGGTCTTAACTCCAGCCTCTTGCCCAGGGCTCAGTGCCCCTGTGAACTTCTAAACCCAAGACTCTGTGGGGGCAGAGTCGCCTACTCAATTCTGCTGGTCCTGGCTGCTGGCACTCAGAGTGATCTCGGCATATACCCAGAGGCTCCCAGGGAAAAATCACTCATAAGATTGTGACCATGTCCAGAAGATATTCTAATCTGATTTTGAAACCTCGTTCCCTCTGTGAATTTAGATCTTAATTACCATGCAACCATTCATTGTTCTATTATTACAATTGCTCGGTTCACCCTGAGTCATGAGTTATTAAATGAAGTGTGTGGAGGCATTTTTTGCCCCTTAGGGTATTATTCAAAGAAGAGTTGATTTTCTTATTTTTTCTTTGTAATTAAAAAAAATTTTTTAATGTTTATTTTTGAGACGAGTATGAGCAGGGGAGGGGCAGAGAGAGGGAGAAACAGAATCTGAAGCAGGGTCCGGGCTCTGAGCTGTCAGCACGGAGCCTGACATGGGACTTGAACCCACAAACCATGAGATCGTGACCTGAGCTGAAGTTGGACGCTCAACCAACTGAGCCACCCAGGTGCCCCATAGTTGATTTTCAACATAAACACTAGTGACAACAAGCTTCAAGAGGAAAATATCCTGTCCAAGCACAGAAGGACTTCTCGTCTGATAAACTGAGCTTAAGATTCTTAAGGCCCAGCTGATTCTTTCAGGTCGTATCAGCAAAGATATGCTGCTGTGCCCAGATCGCGTCTTCCTGCTCTCCCCACTCCCTGCCCCGCCTGTGCTCACGTAGACACGCAGTGGCTGCGGGATTTCAGGAGGCTCCTCAGGCTCTGTAGGGCCTCTGGCAGCCCAGCGCCAGTGAGGGCACTGCAGGCCCGAAGCTCCCAGCTGCGGTCCTGGAACCTCTCCAGGCCCAGCCTCTCTCGGATCTCCAGCAGCGGCAGGGCATCTGGCGCCTCCTGCTTGTTGGCCAGCACCAAGAAAGGGACGCTGGCCATGTGTGGGTCGTCCAGGACTTCCATGAGCTCAGCCACTGCCTCAGGTAAGCGGGCTTCATCGGTGCTATCCAGCACATACACGAGGACATCCGTGCCTTCCAGGTGGTCCTTCCAGCTGGCCCGGAGCTGGGTCTGCCCCCCCACATCCCAGAGAGTCAGAGACACGTGCCCCGGTGCTTCCAGAGGCTCCACGTTGAAACCAACAGTGGGCAGGGTCTCCACCATCTGGTGGCCCTTCAGTTTGTACAGGAGCGTGGTCTTGCCTGCTGAGTCGAGGCCTATCATCACCACCTGGGCCTCTGCCTTGTGATCTCGGGAATTCACAGAACCCATGGTGGCCACTGCTAACCCCTAGGGGAGAAAGGCCAGGTGCGCACATAAGCCATTCTTTTCTGAGGGAACACACATGCATCCAGGCAAATGTTAGAAGAGGCTCTGCTCCAAAAGTAGGAAGTGTTTATACAAGGTCAGGTTTCAAACACAGGCCAGGGCTCTGAAAGGGCCAGGAAGTAAGGGCCTATGAGTCACCATGAGCTGACCTATCTCGGGAAGGTGGGGAGGGAGCTGAGTCAGAGAAGAGGGTAGGGCCCCCTGGAAGACTCCGAATGCGGGCTCACTTTCCTTGGTAGTTAAAGCAAAGTGGCAAAAGGAAGTTCTAGTTAGACATAACCTAGTTCAATAGAAATGACCAAAAGATGGCTTCAGCTCTTGCTTGTCTGTGGCTTCCAGGCTCTATTTTCCTCCTGTAAGCCTAAACCCTGAAACGGAAGCTAGCTTGAGTTCAGTGCACGCAGTGAAGAGTCCAATCGGCTCATATAAGCTTCTGCCTCTGGAACTCTCCTCAGGACCAGCACCGTGCCTGGTAAACAGTGGCTATTTATAAATACTGTCGCCTGGGGACAAATTTACAAGTTGGGGCAAAGTGGTTTCCTCCATTGCCTCATCAAGGTAAATTACCTCTAGAGCACGACTCACGTTCCTCGAGAACCCGTTTCTAAAACCAAGACCTGTTCCCGACTTAGGGGAAACCTGGCTGGGACAGGGGAAGGGACATCTGTCCCCCAGGGGTATATTCGGGCTGCCCATTCAGGAAAATAAGACAGGTTCTGTTCCTTCCTTATGCCGGGGTGGGGGGTGGGGGGTATGAGGAAAATTAAAGTTACCTCTGTTACTAGACTGTGGCTGAAAAAGCTCCTCCTCTGTGGCCGTCTGCCCGCATCCAGCTGCAGCTGCTCTGTCCTCGTCCTGTTGTGTCCCAAGAGTGAGATGTGAAGGAAATGCAGTGACCGTTGCTGGTTCTCCTTTCCCACTTCCTTTCCCAGGTGGTCGGGGGCGGGGCAGGCTCATCAGCCCCTCCCTTAGTCCCCCCTGGACTCCCCTGGCGGTCCTGCTGGGGACGCGCCACAGAGATGTCCCCAGTTCTTCAGCTCTTGATAGAGCAAAGTCTAACACCAACCCCATTTCTTAGCTCAGAACACGTGCCTTGATGTTTTTTCTGGAGCCTGGAGATTTTTTTTTTACCATTTATTTATTTTTGAGAGAGAGAGACAGAGCACGAGTGCGGGAGGGGCAGAGAGAGAGGGAGACACAGAATTGAAGCAGGCTCCAGGCTCTGAACTGTCAGCACAGAGCCCCATGCGGGGCTGGAACTCGAGAACAGCCAGATCATGAACGGAGCGGAAGTCAGAGACTTAACTGACTGAGCCACCCAGGCGCCCCTGGAAAACATAATTTTTAAAACATTGGCCAATCAGAAGCCATTGATTCTTTCTGTAACTCTCTAATTTGCATCTGCAGTTGCAGTGCTCTGGCTCTCATACCAGGTAGCATTTGTGCTTTCTGCCTTCCCACGCGTTTCATTAAAAAGTCAAGAAGCAAATTAGGAGCTATGACTCTCCCATTTTACAAATAAAGAACAAGGCTCAGAGTAAATGATTTACTTGAGATCTTGCTGGGATTTATTCATCTCTTCCTCTTTCATGGTGCCTGCTACCCACTGAGAAAGTGCTTTGCAAAGAGCAAACATCCTGTTGTAATTGTAGGGTATTTTAACAGGAGGAAGTGGTTAGGAAAAGTCAGAAACACGGAGTGTATTATGTACGGAGTGTATGTATGTTATTTGTTATCGACATCACTGTTTAGTTCTTTGGGGTGCCTGTGGCTGTAGGCTATAGTCACTTTGCAGCCAGCCTGGGCAAGTGGAAATTTATAGCCAAGGATCAGGGTGGGGGTCAGCAGATAGAAAATTACTAAGAGGTTCTGGGGAGATTCTGGCTAAGCTGACCTAACAGGATTCTTGCTGAAGTCATGTCACGTGACCAGACATCACCTGGGCGTGGCATGAGGAACCCGATCAGATATTGAGGGGATTAGATATTGAGGGCAGGGTGTTCTGGTGAACACTTAGGAGGGTTGTTGCTAAAACTGGATTTTACAAGGAAATGTACAGATGGGCTGAGAAGAAGTTTCAGAAGCCTGACTGAAGTTTGGTCAAGCAAAGAATCTTCGTTGTTATGCCAAAGCAGGCTCAAAGCATTAAAGACCTGTGTGAAAGAAGGCTTGTTTGTCTTATCGTGGTGGAGGGCGATTAGATCAAGCTGAGACTTAGTCCTGTCCAGCTGATGAATCCTTGGGGAACCTGCCAGGATTTGATTTGCAGGAGGACTGGAATGGGCAGATGATAAGGACACAGGGGCTAAGGTTAAGGTGTGCCTGGGGCTTGGGAGCAAAGGGAGCAACATTGCCTTCACTCTGACCCCAGTTCCTTCTGTGTGGTCCTGGGGAGGGAGGAGAGGTGGACAGAAGCTGAAGAAGCCATTGATTTGCGAAGAAAGATTGGACTAGGTACTGTTAGGTTTCCTTCAGCTCAAATATCTTATGGATACAATGGAATTTTTTTTAAGTTTATTTATTTATTTTGAGAGAGAGAACAAGCTGGGGGGGGGGCGGGCAGAGGACCCAAAGCAGCTCTGTGCTACAGTAGAGAGCCCGATGTGGGCTTGAATTCACAAACTGAGATCATGATCTGAGCCGAAGTCGGTCACTTAACTGACTGAGCCACCTAGGCGCTCCAGTATAATGGAATTTTTATTGAGCAGCTATAAGCAAAGCTCTGTATAGTCTATCACATGAGTGAAAAAAACAAAAACAAAAAACTTTTCAAAGTGCAACTGCATGGCATATGAATGGGAGAAATCAGCATCACTCTTGTATATGAAGACTAGGGCACCATATATCAGAATTAGATATAGGATACATTGCAGACTCTTAAACTGTCTTTATTTTGCATTTTGAGTTGTACTTAGAATTATTATCACTTTTAGTGGCCTGTGAGTGTTTTACATTTACAGCACAACTTATCTCCCCTTTCTGCCATTCCTAGTTTCCATTTTATTGGTGACACCATCTCTTTATAACCAAATGAGGAACCTGGCAAAGTTGGAGGGAATTTCTGTGCCTCTCTCTCTGCTCTGTCTCCCTCCCAACAGAAACAGTATCTTGACAGTCAATCTCTCTCTCTCTCTCTAAAAACAAAACAAAACAAAAAAATAGGAAAAGGAAATAGCAGTGGGTGATCTACTTTCTGAAATAGTGAGTGCGAGAAAGATCTAAAGGATGTGGGGAGCCTGGGTGGCTCAGTTTGTTAAGCATCTGACATCAATCATGATCTCGTGGCTTGTGGGTTTGAGCTCTGCATCGGCCTCTGTGCTAATGGTGTGGAGCCTGCTTGGGATTCTCTCTCTTCCTCTCTCTCTGACCCTCTCCCTCTCATGCTGTCTCTCTCAAAATAAATAAACTTAAAAAAAAAAGTCTAAAGTGTGTTAGACTTGCATTGAAGCAGCTTCAACTTCTGCTTCTATGTATTTGCAGGAAATTTCCTGACACTAAAAGGGAAAACAAAACAAAACAGTGGCCAGGGACTGTCTCTTGAAAATGTGCAGGAAGGACAATGTGGAGGCCAAAAGTGTGATGTGCTCCAGCCGCGCCTCAGAACAAGAGCTGATGACAGGAAGCTGTTGCTTTTTATCTTCCAAGGTTGTTTCAATATGCAAAGTTGGTCTTCAGTAGCAGCTGCTATTCAGTCAGCCACATTTCCTGAACTGGATAGTGTATTTTTAGTTGGCAGGGGGGAAAAAAAAAAAAAAAAAAAAACTTGATTAGAAAGGAGGTTGGAAGGTCGCTTAGTAGCTAGAAACTCAAATCAGCACTTAAGACTTCCTGACATTTCCCGTATGAGTTACTGTCACTCTGGGCAGCAACGAGCAGTGTTTACTTCACTTCTTTTCATAAAAAGAAAAAAAATCACATAAATAATGATGAATATATTGTTTTTTCTTTGAGTGTCAAACAATATAAATGCCTACAGGACAAAATTCTTAAGTTCACTCTTTACATCACTACTCCCCTCCTCTGAGGTAATCAGGATTAGTAGTTTGATGCATATTTTTGCAACTATCTTTCTATATATGTACTTACATATTTTGGAGCACATGCATATGTTTTACTGTTTATTTTTTATTTTTTATTTATTTTTAAGTTTTTAATTTTATTTAAATCCAAGTTAGTTAATATATAGTGAAATAAGGATTTCAGGAGTAGAATCTAGCAATTCATCACTTACATATAACACCCAGTGCTCATCCCAACAAATGTCCTCCTGAATGCCCATCACCCATCTAGCCCATCCCCCTCACCCAACACCCCACCAGCAACCCTCAGTTTGTTCTCTGTATTTGAGAGTCTCTTATGGTTTGCCTCCCTCTCTGTTTTTATCTTATTTTATCTTATTCCCTTCCCCTATACTGTTTATTTTTTGTTTAGGTCTTTTTAAATGTAATTGTGATATCTGTAACTTCTTTATTACATTGAACAATAATACATTTATGAGATCTTTCCATGTTAGTGTATATACTAACTCATATACACTTATATTTTTGTTATTATTTTTAAAGGATTTATTAAATGATGAGAAGGCCACAGGAAAATACAAAAAGCATAATACTAAAATATTCACAGATGAAATTACATGATTCTGAGATTTGTTTATAAAGCATCTGGTAATGGAGAAGAAGTAGCTTGGGATATAATATAACAAGACTGGCCATGAATTGATAGTTGTTGAAGCCAGGTAGACAGGGTATATTATATTAGTCTCCTTATCTGGCATGCCTTTGAAATTTTCCATAGCAAAATCTAAGAAGTATATGTAAGAGGCATAAAGTATTCCAGTTTACCAAATCTTTGATTCTGCCACAGCTCACAGGCCTACAGGGCTCCTAGCACTTGTTACACTCCATATTTTTGGCCTTCTCCAGAATCTGCCGTTACCCCTGGAGGTGTGGGTCACTCCTACTTTACCCTTACGACACTTTGTATATATACAAACACACACCACACAGTCACACTCACACACATACTCCCACATTAAAGGAATTATCTTACTAAATTGAGAGCTTAAAAAATAGTTATCACCGATTGAGCCTCTAATCTGCATCATATACATTGTCTGTGTTTGTTTAGTTACTCCTCCCAACAGCTGAATGGTAAGACTATTTCTGTCCCCTTTTATACATATGGAAACTGAGGCTAAAAATATTAAGTAACTTGCCTAGTCTTTTCTTTTTTATTCTCATTTAATTTTATATCATTGTGTCAACTACGTTCATATAAATATGTGTAAAAAGGGACCAGTACAGACACTGAGAAGCAAGCACAAATCTTACCGAACAGGAACATTGCCATTATTAGATGACAGGAGATAAACTGAAGATAGTCTCTGGGTCATAGTCTGCATTTTGCTTCCTTGAGTTCTATAAGAGCCCCTTCTGGGCAGTTAGTGTGTTAGTGTGCAAGGCCATGACGGAGTCTTAGGGAGCATAGGGCTTACCATAGTTGAGGCCACAGGCAGGCCTTTCTGGTGGGATAGTGGGAAGATAGTCAGTAGGAGTGGACTGTGCTGTATATTCTATGTCAAAGCCCACTGTCAGCTGTCAGGAATGAGCAAATCAGAATACTTCTTGGGGTAAAGGAGTATCAGCTGGTCGTGGCTGTAGGGCATGGAGAGGAGGGGACTCTTGATTTCTCATTAGCATAAGATCAAGGCCTGCCGAATACAGGTAAGAATCAGACCCAGGCTTGCCTGGGAATTTTTTCTTCCAGGTGAAGAGAATATAACAACTGCAGATAGTTTGGTGATAAGTCTTTATTGTGTCTGTCTCTTAAGAATTAGTTGTTCTCCACGACATCCTATGCACATCTTCTTTGAGATTCCCTTGACCTCTGGGATCCTCTTTTTTTTTTTTTTTTAAGTTTATTTATTTATTTTGACAGAGAGAGGGAGTGAGAGAGCCAGCATGTGCACGTGCAAGGGGATGGGCAGAGAGG